CTAGATGTAGGGACATGCTAAAGGTGATCGCAAACAAGTGTAACCTCACAAAAGAGCTGTCCGAGAAGAGAAACATGGCTTGCGCACAAACAAGAAGGACTGCAAGACATTGAACAACGTCGATGTATGCGAACACCTTTTCTTAGGAGGCAAGTTATGTTTCCATATTTCCCCACTTTTTCACTCGTTCTGTGACCACAGAGTTGATAAAGCGTTCCAAACACAGCGGACGCGCCTTGCTTTTCGGAAGGCCCACTAAGCTCTTTATTGGAACGAACTCCAATGGGTGCCGAACATGTTATTGGGCAGTTGTATGCAGCAATCAACGACAAAATTTTTGCGGTTTAACATGTCCGTGGCAAAGAGCTCTGCAGTAGGCGACTAATGTGAAGTTGTTTCACCCATTATGTGCGATTAAATGGACTCGAATGCTGAGGAATACAAGTTTTCCAGTTAACAATGCTTCTATGAAGGCTGCTGTTTTAGGGACGCAAATTTATGCCCCAATCTCAATCATAATGCCCCATCCACGCATAAAGTAAGTGAGTGAGTCCAGTGACTCATAGGCCTTTATTGGATTCAGTGAAACGTGATTTGTCAATACCATGAAGTAAATTATATAGTTGACATGAATAACCGTCTCCAGCAGGCTTGCATCAAAAGCCGCTTGCGCACCTACCGGTAGCTCATATGGATCTGCGCAGTCATACGGGCGATTTATTCTTGGTATCTGACCTGAGTTGATCCTACAGGTTTGTCAAAGTATGTTCAAGAATGTCCTGAATAGTTCCCTGCCGGTATAAATACCAGGCAAATCATAAAACCATGCGCACTACGTAGATGATTCTACGCACGAATGTAAATACAACGTTGTTACCGAGTCGCATGTGCTCGGTGATAGACTCAAAACCAGAAGACGGGAAGTGTGCCATCTGCATATTATGTATGAAGTTGAACCATTTCTCTCTCTGTTCCTCTCCTCTTTGCAGTGAGTAAAGGCTATGGGTTGTATCAGTCCGGAGGATCAAGCACTGCATTTTGTGCAGTTGCCCCTTGGTCAATCAGATATGCGAAAGTATAGATTAATTCATGCATTTCACTTATGCAATGTTTTTGTTTGTATTGCGGCTAATTAAAAAAAAGTAAGTCTGATATAAGCTGCGACTCCAAGCATTCACAACTGCAATGAAATCTGCAAGTCAGAGGGATATAAAACTGCAGTGCACAGACGTCTTCAAATTCATGTGCACACTCTAGAAATATTCACACATGTTCTGTATAGCCAGACTAATGAAAATACATCACTCAATTGTGACCTTAACATTATCACATAGTTCCAACATGACTGCCAGGGCGGCATTACGAAATTTAGCCAATATTAGAAAGCTAAGGCAGACATCGCGTGCTAATAGGCATCTAGCTCCCAGATCGCGATTTAACTGCCGTGAGCGGCAAGCTCGATCCGGATTGGCTCATGCGGCAGGATATCTTCATCGCGTATACACAGTGGTGTATCCGCGATGAAGATATCCGATCCGAATTTATACTAATCGTAATCAGAAATACCGACGTGTCTGCACAGTCGGTTATCTGCCCTATACTAGGTCTTCTGTGCCTATACGATCAAAATTGGCCGCGTCACAAGGGGAATGAATAAGTTCGTTTCTTTGTTGGCATCGGTCCATCTATGTTTCGTATTATCTGACATTGGATGCAACTGAACACTATAAGCGACGGGTCGCAAGATAGAATATTCTTATTTTGTACCCATTAACTGTGGACCATACCCACTGTGGCAGATTGGCCGAGAATTGAGTGGCTTTATAAAATAGTATGACATCTTACAATAATGATCGTTGTGTAATATAAAATGTAGAGTAACTAGCCGTCATCTCCTTTGTCGTCTTTTATTGTTTGTGGCCTAATTCATGTCAGTGTTTTGTTGTTTTAAATCTTCGCAGCGCTATCAGAGGAGCCGTACAATAGAGCTTACGAGATAGAGTTAATATACCGACTGTATATTAACTCTATGACTGTGTCTCAGAACCTCAGTTTCCTTCGTAGAGTTACCACTCAGAACACCTACCACTTTCCAAAACTCTATGGTTTCCTCAACTCCAATTCTCTAGATTCCCTAAATAATACGTGAGAGGCACGACCTACTGTACTCCTGACCTGCCCAGCTGGCGGCGGTCTACGGAGCTGCCAGAACCATGACCTACTACACTCCTGACCTGCCCAGAGAGCACCTCTTCCAGCGCCCACGTTCTAGTTCATACCTTCTGCCGCTAGGGCCGTCACCTACGAGCGGCGTGGCGCTAGGCAGCACCTGTTCGCCGACGTCACCTTCAACGTTTGTGGTCCTATTTTGGCCAACGAAGCACTCATGCTGCTTGATTAATATGAAAAACTAAATGGAATTCAAAAATAAATATATTAAAAGTCATTCAGAATTTTTTTTTTGCAATTGAATGGATGCGACACCACGTAGGCTGTCCATTCTCGTAACTTTGGGCTGTCCTACACCATGCGAGTCTACGGGTTCCCACGTTTGTCAACCACTGTGCAATAAATACTTCAGCGCACTGTACAGCTTACTTGACCAGCCATCTAAGTGAATAAGTACCGACATATATGCCGGCAGTTCACCATATAATGCAGGCATTCTTACTCCCGGTGCCTTCAAAACAACCGTAAAGTAGCAGACGAACAGGTTATAGGTAGCGCCACCTACGGCGAGCGATTGAACGAGAGCGGGGACACGCGCTCCCATAGGAACCCCGCTATCTGAACAGGTCAGGAGTGTAGTAGGTCATGGCCAGAACACCTACCAGTTTCCAAAACTCTATGGTTTCCTTAACTCCAATTATCTAGATTCCCTAAATGTTACGTGAGAGGCATGACCTACTGTACTCCTGACCTGCCCAGCTGGCGGCGGTCTACGGAGCTGCCTGCGTCGGCTCGGATTCCAAACTTCGCCGCCTAGAGGGCGCTCGAGTTACCCCAGCTAGCGAACACTTGATAGCATGCGAACACTTGATAATGTTCTGTAAAGGGCTTCACCCTATAGTTCCGGATGATGGCGCAGAGTTTTTCAAAGCACTGGGGAGGGCAAAATAAACTTTAAGCGGGTAGACTTAACTAGAAGGAGGTTATCTGATTGGTGGCTAAAGTCAAGGCACGAGTGAAAATTAAACTCTTCACTGCAAAGTACGAATCCTCAAACTCTTTTTTTTTTTAAGGAAAAAAAAATATAGTTTTTGGTTCATTAGGTATTACGCCTTGGTGGCGCTGGCCACCGCCCGATCTAAAGGGTACAGCCATATCCATCCATCCATCCATCCATGAGCGCCGGTGGATGCATGGAAATGCATGGGTTGCTGCCAGTTAGAGAAGAGTTTCATCACGTATTGAGTAATCGTGGCGGCTATCTTGAATCATTCTATTTCATGTGGCTTTGAGAATCTTCTTTTGCATTTTAGACGACATTTTAGTGAATCGTTTTTTTTTCAAATAGAATCGCAAATCAGGTACAAACACATGTATCAGCGTGCAAAACAAGGAAGAATGACGACGGAGACAGGTTGTAAAAAGCGCTGGCCACCAAATGTTTATTTAACTCATGATACCAGCTATATCTGTATACAATGGTAGACTTGTTGCCGTTGGAGTACACTCAGCTGGCTTTCATTTACTGTCTGGACAAGAAAGGGCAAGGGCTATGGCATTTGGCAGTGTCCGTGGCATCCGGCGCGCATAAAAAACAAACCAATAGAGATAATTTTGCACATAACTACCTTCGTCTCAAATGGCAGATGTAGATCGCAGGTACATAAATAATCAATGAAAGGCACTCTGCAACTGTTTTGAAACAAAACAGCACTTAAAATCACTTATTCAACACTAATTCTTCACACAATGGGTGTGTTTGAAAACCTAGTTGCATAACCACATGTAGTGACATGGTTTCCATATGTGCACTCTTGTCATTGTTGTTTGTGCTAATAAACAGTCTTTCTTGAGCTTGTCGGTTATTTTTTTTTTTGCGCTAATATGCGCTTCAGTCTGTCATGCACCACCAACCAGCCCAGCAACTCACTCTTTTAGAGACACGTGGTCTTTTACAACACAGAAATCGCCTTGATCAATTTTTCACAAACCTCGGTCACTGGAAACTCATAAAAAGTCACATCAGGAGTCTTCCCTTGCCTTGATTTGCAGAAAGGCACGCAGCACACTACCACCGTGATGGTTAATTTGCATCAAGAAACCTCGCTTTGCTGGTGTGCAAACTGCACCGACCTGCACGCTTCTGTCGCAGCTCGGCACGAGCAGACGGTAACAAGATTGTCATTATACTTTTAAGTTTATTCAAAAAGAGGCTTTTATTCATTTTAATCGTCCAGAGTGTATGCACGCGTAAACATTGCTGTTTTTCTCCCAGCGTCGTGCGAGCAGACGACCAAAAAAAAAAACGCGCGGCGACTTGTGTTTTGGGCGCCAGCAACCGGTGCGGATGGGGTAAGTTGCAGCTCCACAAGGCGCATAGCGGCAGGAGCCTGATACCAGAAAGGGCGTGCTGGCGCTTCGCTTGCTAGGCAGGTCAAAAAATACAGTAGGTCGTGGTGAGAGGAGGGCCTAGGTACTAAGTAGGAAACCACCTCAAGATCCACTACTGTCCCCAGCCTCTCCGGCAGTAGTTGGAAGAGGGGAAGAAGAGGTGCTGTTTGTCCACGTTCAACCAGTCCTTTATTCTATGGTTGAGTGTTTGTGAATTGTGCTTTGGAAAATTCATGAACCATGCCTCGCTGATATGTGCCTGGCTGTGAAAGCTACTACGATTCCGCCTGGCACGCGAAAAACGACATTTCTACCTCCTCAAGCTGAACGTCTTCAACTTTACCAGAGCTAGACGTTAAGCTTTCGACCTCCGGTTCCGCCTGTGACCTCCACTTTGTCAATGAAGACCAGTGATACCACGTGACAAAAAAAAAAAAAAAACGCCGAGAGCAGACGCCGTGCCTCGCCCGTTTTCTAATTGCTCAAGTTACTTGTCAACACGGACACGCAAGCACCAGCTCGAAGACTTTCACCCGCAGAGCACCACGAAAAACAAGGTGAGCTTCCGGGTGGTGTTGTTCGCGTTACAAAATTTTATAGACTGCGGTTCTTGCAACAAATGCCTCAATTACCGAGTATAAACACGAAGTAATAATTAAATCGCAACACACGCGCAGAAAAAGACACGCCACAAGCTTTCCATTGACATATAGCCTTGAAAAGGAAGTCTTCATGCATCCCCAGACCTGAAAGGATCGTTGGGAATGGCGCCAGTGACGTGGGCACCTTGAGATTTAGAAGCACAAACAAGGATGAATATGGAGCTTGCCACTTCAGGAATACGTCAATGTTTTGAAACAACTTTCAACATCTGACTCGGATAAAGCTATGATAAAGCGCAGGCCCATGAGCAGGGGGGGGGGGGGGGGGGGGGCTGCCTTAGGGTCCCGAACGCCCCACCCCCCTCAAAAACAAGTTCTTATGAGGGGGAAGGGGGGGGGGGGTGCTTTAGGGAAACTAAGTGAGAAACTAGGTGTTTTTAATCATAATTCTCAGAAAGTGCACCCACCTCAACTCCGGGAAGAAATCTCCGGCTGTGGGCCTGTGTCAAAGTTTGGGGAGTGGATTCCTTATTCAGCGAGCAGCACTGAAGTATTCAATGCTAACTTTGCATGGTGCTAAATATTTTTGGTATCCCGGTATCTAAACTTGATCGTCTGAGACTTTCTTGCCTCTGTCTGGGGGCCTAGCAAGAATACACCAGGCCCTGTGGCTGGGGGAACCATCACTCCTCCTGTTCGGACTCAGCTGGTGGCAATCGCGTGGTTGTTAAACAGTGGTGAACTGAGCACAGGGGCGGATCCAGCCACTCATTTTAGGAGGGGGTCAGTCGCTTGAAGTAACAATGGAGATGGGGTGTGGCCATGACTTTTGTTTTTACTAGCAAAAGAAAAACCCTGTCATAGCATAAATATTCGTGTGTTGTCACAGTCATTTCACTCATTTGTCCTAATTGGCAATAGGAGGTGGACTACAAGCACTGTAATGCAGTGGGGTTCTGCACTGGCTCTAGGGGTGGCGGAGGGGGGGGCAATTGCTTCTACCCCCAGTCTGGATCCGCCACTGAGTGACCATCGGTTTTCATGCTGTTCGCATAGTCATCATACTTCGTATACCCTTTGGGATGTTGACATTTCCGTAGCCATTCTCTCTCACAATTCGTGGTGGAGCCTGTTTGTCTTGTAACTTGTTTCTATAACTTGACGCGTAGTATTTGCTTGACACTCTATACATGCATGGGCGAACAGGAAAAAAAACGATCTTCACGTGCCATCTTTTGATCTTATGATTGTCTCAAACGAAGTTTTTATCAACAGTGCTTCTGTAGTCTTCATAGTAGCGCAATCCAGTTTTTCTGTAATGCTTTACTGGCAATATTATACCAGAAGCAGCCATAAGCATCACTTTCAAGACAGAATATTATGTATTCAATACACAATTTCCATACAGTTGGCCTTCAAGCTCATTTTTGCTCTGGCCTTTCAGGGTGTTTCTTTAAATGATGCACTGCATAAATAATTTTGTCATTCTTTCCAGAAACTGCAAGTACAGAAATGCTGCAGGACATTCACGAGGCTTCATCTAAGGGATGTCAGGTACGGTGACTCGCTCACGCACACGACATTTGCATGAGTTTCAATGACCACGTTTGATAAGATTTCCTTGGCCCTTTTCAAGGTATCCGCTCATTGCAACTCAGCCGCTCTGTTGTCGCGTGAAGAGAGTTGAATTGGAAAGAAAGTTGAATTGTACTGCTAGTGATTCATACTTGGAGATTTGTGTTTTCAGATAAATCCAAAAGTATGCTACAGGCACTCACTGAAGTTTTGGCAATTTGAAATTGTCCAATAGATATCAATTGTGACCGGCTACAGGACACTGTTCTGCTCCTTATCGAGAGGGCATGGAATGAGTGGTCGTTAATACATTGGCCTGTTTGACGTATATAAACTTTAGCTCACGTCAACAGTATCTCATGGACCGTACCACACATTTAACAAGGAGCTTGTCACATAGAAAGTGAAACATGTAAATGTTTTGGCCACTAGAAGTCCGAGACATCTTGGTATATAGTCCCCTAGCTGCACTAGGCACGCCAGACAACATGTAAAACTTAAAATGCATTTAAAATACAACCACTCATGACATGTCACAGTGAAACCCATGGATAACTCCTGGTCTCTTGCATTCCATATCTAAAAAGGAAAACATGCAAAAAAAAATTAAAATCTCGGCCTTCAAACAGCTCTCTAAAAACGCGCTTAAAAAGATATTCAAATCTACTTTCAATGCTGCTCAAGAGGGCCAAACGCGAGTATTATGAAAAACAAATAGATAAGAACGGTAATGATACCAGGAAAAACTGGCAGTTAATAAAAAAATTCTTGAACAGCAGCGAGACCACATGCTTATCAAAAATAACGGTTGATGGACGTTCCCTTATCGAGCCACTCGATATCGCTAATGCTTTCAGTGATACTTTCGCATCAAATTCCCCCGATCCACTAGTTGACCTTCATTTTCCCATTCTATCTCGTTCACCTCAGTCTTTTTACTTACGTCCTACATCTGCAGACGAAGTCTTTCAAATCATGTCATCTCTTAAAACCAAAGGGCCAGGCTTAGATTCCATTCACCCGTCTAAGATAAAGCTTGTGGCACGTGATCTGTCTCCTATTTTAGCTGAAATAATTAACAAATTGTTCAAAGCAGGTGCATTTTCTGATGCTTTAAAGGTAGGAAAGATAACACCTGTTTTCAAAAAGGGCGATCGTTTGTCAACTAATAATTACTGTCCGATTTGTGTACTTCCTTTCTTTAGCAAAGTAATCGAAAAGCTTTTTTACTTGCGTTTGATGTGCTATCTGCTTAAATTTAACCTACTCTCTCACCGCCAATTTGGTTTTCGACCTGGCTACTCGGCAGAGGTCGCCTTGCTCAGCTTTACTGACCGAATTAAACAAGCCATAGACGATGGATTTTTCACTGGGGCAGTTTTTATTGACCTCACGAAGGCTTTCGACACAATTAACCACCGGATCCTTCTGTGTAAACTTGAATATTTCGGAATTGTGGGTCCCGCTTTGCAGTTCAATCGCAATTACTTAACAAATCGCTCACAGGTAGTTTATGTCAATAACATTGCGTCATCTGCTAAGCCAGTTACCATGGGCGTCCCTCAAGGTTCAATCTTAGGCCCCCTTCTATTCCTACTTTTTATTAACGACCTACCTAGTTCCCTTAACCATACTGTCTTCTTTACGCCGATGACACTACTATTTTTACATCCCAGAAAACAACTGCTGAACTTGAAAGTAGCTTAAACTCCGATCTCTGTAATATTTATCAATGGTGTGTTAACAATCATCTTTATATGAATCCCTCTAAAACTACATTTGTGGTGTTTTCATCCGCACAGAACACATTTCCCTCACCAGTTTCCGTATCTCTTAACAACCATATTATTTCCGTTTCGGATCATGTGAAGTTCTTAGGCGTAATACTAGACAAGCATTTGAAATATAACTATCATGTACTCTCAATATTAAAAAAGCTTCTTTTGGCATTCATGTTCTCATTAAAGCCCGCCCTTATTTTCAGTCACGCATTATTTTATCATTATACTATGCATATATTCATAGCCGTCTTTCCTATTGCATTTCATCCTGGGGTAATACATATGCCAGTCACCTGGAGCCCCTTCTACATCTTCAGAAACGGGCACTACGTCTGATCGCCTTCGCTCCATTTCAATCGCCTTCTACGCCACTCTTTATTTATTTTTCCGTGCTTCCAATTAATCTTTTATTCACTCTAAAGTTAGCTATATTGATGCACCGCCTCATTTATCATGGTCTATGTGTTTCAGGGCTATCCACACAACATCTTGTCAATACTAATAACACCAGGTTTTCAGCCTGTCACAATTTCCTTCTCCCTAAAGTGCGTAGCAATTATGGAAAACTAACTCTTAAATTTACAGGTGTATCTGTATGGAACAACATACCACTTGAAATAAAGTTATGTCCCACATTCTATTCGTTTCGCAAAATGTTCGTTTCGCAAAAGTACCTAAGCAAAAAACGTGTTTTCTAAACTCTGCCGTCGTGCCTTACTCCTAATTTTAGTATTTCTTTTACTCACTATACCACTTGCTGTTACACAGAACTTTTCTTGCCTTGTTATGAAATTTTAACCATTCTTTGCTTAATTAGTACAAAGTGTTTTTCACTGCTTGCTGCATCGTTATCGCACTTGACTTATTCTCTAACAGAGGTCCCCTCGACAGTTTTCTAACTTCGGGACCTCCTTTGTACTGTAGAATTTTATTCATGTAAATGTATGCATTCCTGAAACAAAGTTTGATTTGATTTGAAAAAAAAAAAAAACTATCATATGCACATCGTGTCGTCTGCTTGGGTTCTTTATGAAAGCCTATAACTAACAGCAGAAGGCTGCTGGTTAGAAAACTATACCATTACCAACCCTTCAGTGTAGAAATTCACTCAGATTTATTCATTTAGCTTTTAAGGCATTATTTGAGTCTGAAAATTAATTCTTTACATCCTATAAAGTATGCCTGCATCTATTGCAGCAAGTTTTATAATAGTAACACTCACAAACACAAGCGTTCTGTGCTCTTGTATTTGTCCTGTTGTGCATGTTCATTTGGCCCCTTCAGGCAACCAAGATGTGGTTCGTGTGTTCTGGTGTTTTTATGTTCAGCAACAGTAATAATATCTGGGGTCTAACGTCCCAAAACCCCACTACGATTATGAGAGATATGGTAGTGGAAGACCGCAAATTTCGACCACCTGGGGTTCTTTAACGTGCTCCTAAATCTAAGTACACGGGCCTCAAACATTTTTTTGTCTTATCAAAAATGCAGCCACTGCTGAACTGTGATTAAATCCTGCAACGTTCGGGGTAGCAGTCAGGTGCCATAACCATCAGACCGTTGCGACGGGGTGTTTTCATATTCAGATCAAATTTCATCAAGCAAAACGGAGAATTGAAAGTATTAAGCTTAATTCAAAGTATTTAGAATTGAAAGTAATGAAGCTCAATTTCAGGGAGTTGGGTAGCTTCGAAAAATTGATGCATTAATTTTCAAACTTGAATTAATATAAATTCTGCTAAGATGAGGCCTTGTTTATGGCATAATCAATGTCAGCCTAAGAAAAAAAATCATTAAACATACGAAGGCTGTGAGCGCAGCTAACATTTTAAATGTCACTGCAGCGCACAGCCATTGCTCTCTCTGCCTCGGATAATTTGTATAAATGCCCCATCTAATAGCACTTGCTCATTTTTGTGATGTCAAACGTTCCTCAAGTGTTGTGAATAGTTGACTATCTCACACACACTATGCTTGTGTCATTCGTATTAGGTCAGAAACTTGAACATCGTTGTAGATTTTGTCAGATTGACATCGCTGTTCCTCCATGAGTGAAGGTTTACGTAATAATGGTGGACCATTGTAAGTGTTAATGCACTTAAAGGCATTTACATTAGACGAGAAAAAGCCCTTACATTTAATGCAAAAACAAGCTAGTACGACTGTCTTTCTCGAGTAAAAAGCAAACATTACACGTTTTGGGGGATGGAGCTTACGTTCTTTATTCGTTTGTAAGTTGTGATTTATAGGTGTAGGCAGATATTTGAAACTTGCCAATATCAAACTCAATGCGGCCCTGTTGAATTTGGTCATTAAATCTAATAGCTGGTGTTTGTTAACCAATGTTTCTGTATTAGTTTACAGATGTTTTACAAGTGCAACTTCTGAGGACATGTGATAGTTAAACTATCAGATACACATCTTGTCATCTGCCTAGGTCCTGTTATAAGGCCGATAATTGAGAACAAAAGGCTGCTAGATGGAAGTCTATACCATTGCCAACCCTCCAGCTGTGCAAAGATTCATTCTGATAGCCTTTAAGGCACAATTTGGGCGTGAAAAGTTAATTTTTTTGAAATAATTTGAATCCTTCCTGTTTCATGTGTGCAGACGAGCCTACCAATGACCCGCATGCAAGAAACCCAGACACCCTCGAATTTGAGGACACGTAAGTGCAGAGATTGTTTGCAGCACACGCACCTGGTATTTCATGAACCAAGAAGAGGTTTGGACGCTTGGCACCCGAAAGCTGTCTGTCGAGGTTGGCCCTAGAGCAGGAGTTTTTTTACAAGCTTGAAAGTAAAATGTTGTGAAAAAAAAAAAAAACAGATGAAAGGGTAGAGACAAGCAACTATGCACATTTTTTCATTTAGTTGCACTTAAACCTGATAATGGCAAAGTAGCATCTTACACGAAAAATAACTTCGTTACATATGAAAATTCGTTATAAAGGTGTATTTCTAACACTGTATCTATTCCAAGACTATTCTTCATTTACTTGGTTATAAGTGATATTTTGTTATATCGAGGTTTTGACTGTACTTGGTGGCGAAACGGTCTATTTCAGCTGAACAGAACACTGCATAAATCACAAAAGGAAGTGTCTGTGAAATGTGAAGAAAAAGGACAAAAACTAATTTAGCTGAGCAGTATTATGCATTCAAGTGTGATCCTCAAATGTATGAGTTTAAAAATTATTGGAAGAAGTGGTAATATGAATGCACAGTTGGTAATTCAAGCTCTTACTATAGTTTGAAAGGCAAGTGATAGTTTTAGTTATCCTTCCATCAGCCTGTATAGTGAAGAGAAGGTGTTTCTGGCTGCAGGTATGTAATTTTTTATGTTATTCTTTAATACCCATGTGACCTTGATGGCTCATGTTTTCTATTTATTCAGTGGTTCTGCCCATGAATAAACCGTGTGAGCTTGTTCCAGTACCCATCGCTATGAACATGCCCCCTTTTTGCACAACCTTTTACTTCCTAGCATGTTTAACACACTAGGGCAATGAGTTTCGCTACAGGTTATCAATGTGAGTTCAGTGGGACCCACAGGTGTCAGGAGAAGTGTTTCAGAGTTATACCGGGGGTCGAAAAAAACGCATACCTTTCAATTTTTCTGATTAACCCGAGAGATTATGGGTTGGGCGGGCATAGCTATAAGCTTGCCGACAAAAAGCCGTAGCCCTACTCGAAATGCAAGTAACAAAGGACGCCTGTTCTAGAAGTTTGCCTGCCTTGAGAAACCCCAAGAGCTCTCCGATAGAACATCCGCTCTACCCAATGATGTATGAGAAAGGGAAGGCCACTGCACTTGTGGGTGGCCTTCGTTATTTACAGTTCGGCATGTCATCTTTATCTTGGCAAGGAACTCTCCGAGGAATCATACTACATGCACCCATCAGTTAGCTATGCCCAAGTCATGCAGTGTGGTAAAGCGCGTGAAGGGGCTACTAGATTTCACGAGTTGTAGCCTGTTTCCACAGCAGTGGCGAAGCGCTCGTGCGTCAGAAGGTACTGTGTTCAATCCCCGATGCCGGCTGGCCACCCACCGGTTTCTGATGGGGTACAAGCTGGCTTCGTGGTGCTACGTCGCTGCAGTGGTGTGAAGCTAACAATGCTTGGAAGACGCCTGACCCATTGCGTGGGACCAGTGAAGTCATAGCACATTCTGCCCTATGCATGTGTAATAATGCCACATATGTGCCGTGATTATGAGTACCTGTATAAATGTAGTGTCTAAGAATGCTACTGCAATTTTCGAATCTCTGTAAGACTTTATAGCAGCCATGAAAAGTAAAATATATATTTATATATTTTTTATATAGAGGCCTGTTTGTCTTTTTGTTTTGTTGCAAGTAAGACATTCTGAATTACCTGGTTGAAAGTTCCAGAGCGTAGGTTTCAAAATGTGATGTGCTGCAAAAAAGGCCTATTGCACGAGTAGCATAATTTCCTTCACTGCAGGTGACTGTGGTACGACAACACATCCGATGTTCTTCTGCAAAGACTGTGGTGGCACATTTGTGACAGCCTTGCGACTGCATTGGCACAGTCGTACCTCGCACCCGAACAAATTGCTCCCTTGCACGTGCTTCGACTGCTCTCGTTCCCCCAGCAACAGGTGAGACAGTGTACCATTTTTGCCTGTGGCAGAAGAAACGTCAGCCAAACCGATATGTCCCATATTTTTCACTATGCCAAATAATGTCTGGTAAAAAGATATGTGGCCGGGTCTGGTGAAAAGAAATTATCGCTCTATAATCAGTTAATATCATTAAAATTTTCGTAACAGTTTCTCTGGCATCGGTACATGATTTTTAACATGATTTCTACTTTGCAAAGGTCCCTGAAAGTCGGCAGCCGTGACCTCTTTCAGAGAAGGAGACAGCTTGTGAAAGGGCAGCGTCACTGTTGAAACTATAACTGTGTTACGTTGTCAGGATTGTCGTGCTGCAGAGCATGTGTGACGTGCTGCAGATGGGGGAGGCGGTGGATAATTTAAAGTTCACTCACCAGGCCCCTCAACGAATTTAAATTAGACCGTGGAAGTTGTTGTATGTCCGATAAAAGCATCATGCTACAAAAATTTTTTCAATTGGTTCGTTACAACCTGAGAAAACTTTTTTTTTTTTTGAAGCAGCGTGATAAGAAGATGCGAGGAGGCGAGCTCGAAACCCTTGCCGCTCGCCCGCATAGCCTTCGCAAGCCAAATCTCTTCCCTACCCTCTCCTGCATCCGACCAAGAGGTCACGTGCCCGAACAAGCCCGACCCACGAGCACGCAAGCGGTGTTGTTTTGTTGACCAGAGTTATTTTGTGGTCTACTGCTTGTTTCTGCGGGATGGTTTGGAAACACTGGCTTAAGCGCGGTAGAATAGATGAGCATAATGAGTGCTAGAACGCACAAGACCAATAATTTCTTCTCCAGGACTAGGCACCTGCTGGATCCACTAACTGCGGGGACACAAATACGTGCGAAACGCAGGCACATTCACCTTCCATCTCATTACTGCATCTCATTATTTATCTCAAGTTTTATTCATTTATTCAAGCAACAAATTGCATAAACTTCACATGTCGCGTGAAATAATTTTCGCCGTGTCACGTGCTACTGTTGGCAACGTAAGAGCACAGTCGTCTACGTAGAGGACCAATGTCACAGCGCTGCGTGTACATAGGCCAATTCTGACGTGTATGTTATGCTTTCACTCTCTGGGCACGCACCCGCTGAAGAAAGGGAGAGCGCCGTTCATCTTGCAATTTGACCCATTGCCGCGGCGCGTAGCGTTGCGAATTTCGGCAGACGTGACCAGTAACGCTTCATGTACGTATTGCGCTTTTCAGCTCAAAATTGTCAAACCTGGTGATTGGCCCTTTAAGAAACCACACGGCAGTTATATTGGACGACACACGCGCAAAATACATAAAGTGAAAACTGATGAAAGTGATGATGATGGAAGAGCTCTTCTTTACAAGATTGTTGAGGCTCTGTCAAAGAGGAATAAAACAGTGTGAGCGAACAGCAAACCCCTTCTAGCTTTTTGAGAGAGGAGCGAGTGTAAAACGACGCTCACCAAAAAGCACTGGCTGAAGCTGCTTGTCTATCCTTGTCCGAATTGCTCCCCAATGTAAAATACGAGCTGTTAAAGTAATCGTTCGACTCCTCACCGCTCGGCTCATCAAAAGCTGGTTACTTTGGTGGCTGATGCAAGTCTAAACGCCGTGTTTACAATGCTCGCTGATGCCACTACGCACAAATCTCTCTCGTGTATGGGCGCCTTCTGGAAACTGGCAAACTATGCTGTAAGTCAACGTCTAGTGACAATACTACATGCTAGGTAGCAATACATCCAAAAACACGCAAAAATTTAAACTTGGCAGCATTCAAAAAGCCATCGATCATTTATGATCAATACTCCTCCTAGGTAGGTGCATCGAAAAAGATCAAAACAGGAGTTTTCGAAAAAGTTCATATTTTTTCAGAAAGGAGCTTCACCACTTAGGGCAATAATAAACATATCTGAAAGTGGCGGGCCAGTATAGGGAATAAGATAGCCTAGCCATAAAACTCTATAAAGCAGATGTCCCACTGGCCTTAAAGCTTGAATGAAGTGCTTGAATAATTGAGAAAAAGAAGCGTGACCCACGCATAATTGACATTCTTTACATTTCGCCTATTAAAATGTGAAAATGTTGACGGTTCGTGGGAGTTTGAATCTCCCCCCACCCACTCTGGCTAAACCAATGTTATACATTGGCACATCAAGCTTGTGTGTGCCGGTTTTCTGGAGCAGATGTCCCACTGGCCTTAAAGCTTGAGTGAAGTGCTTGAATAATCGAGAAAAAGAAGCCCGAACCGCACATAATTGGCATTCTTCACATTTCCCCTAGTCAAATGTGAACATGTTGACGGTTCGTGGGAGTTTGAATTTCCCAACCCCCCCCCCCTCTGGCTACATCAATGTCATACATTGGCACATCAAGTTTGTGTGAGCCGGTTTTCTGGAGTTCAGATGCCGGTATGCTGCTTCGCCTACTGTGTTACAACTGCACTTGCATGCTTGCACTAAAGGTACAGAAAACATGTCGTGCACCTTTTAAAATGATCAGCGTGGTTCAGGGATCACCGACACCCAACCGCAACAGCCACATTTATGTACAGGCGAAATGCTATGTCTGTTTGCGTAGATTTTGATGCATGGTAAAGAACCCCAAGCGGTTGATATTCATAAAGGTCTTTACTACAGTCACTCTCTTTATCATATCATGGTTTTGTGACGAGCAAACTGAACAGTTTTATTAGCATGATTGAGAGTGCACTGTTGATGCACCAGTAGACTGCACGGCAGGGCGCACCAGCTTGTGGACTGGTTAAGGTGGTGCAGGTGATTCTTGAATGTGCCTATAACAAATCAGTAGAACAAATATTTTAGTAGTATAATTTTTTTGTCAGTGTTGATGAATATATGTATTGTTGAAAATTTGTGCAAGGACAAACAGCTGTCAACGTGTCAAAACAAAACGATAAGCAAAGGGAGTCTGGTAAAATTGTGGGGTGCAAAGTTACTTTTTTTTCGTTTGTGACAATAAAGTCAAGTCTTTGCCAGCCGCTCCTGGTAAAGGCACGGCTCGGCGTCGGTGGCTGCTCTCTGACGCGATATCTAAAAAGTGCAGTAGCAAAAGCTGTTTCAACTGAACCACTGGCACACGTGCAAGTTTCAGTTTATTCCAGCCTTCCTCAGTAGAAGTGAAGCCAGATGCATGCTTTGGCTTCAAACAGCTCGCTTCCTGGCCATAAAGCCATCAAACTCGGCCAGCTGTCCAATCGGCTTGCGGACGGGCGCCGAGAGCTTTGAAATGATCGGAACACGACTGCCATGTGTCGCTGCATAAGGTGCCCTTTGGGAAATGTTAACGATAAAAAGCAACAGGGCAGGCTTTGCTGAATCATCCCCAGCATCGAAGTGGTGCCAAGCTGCAAAGGTTAATCATAACACAACACAGAGGAGAAAGGCTAATAAAAATCACACTACCATAAATTGTGCAATGAAAACCTGTACACTTAGAACTTAAACCTCGATAAAACGAATTCGGATATAATGAATTATCGGTTATAACAGAGTAAGTGAGCAATTGCTTTACCATATATTCAGTGCTGCAGATAATTGTTTATAACAAATTTCTGAATATAACGAAGTACTTTTGTGGCAGATGTGGGTTAGTTATATTGAGGTTTAAGTGCACGTCGTTTGCTTGTTGTACGTGCACTGAACGCATTGCTTAATCAGTGGTGCAAGCGCTGCACCAATTTCGCCGTCCTGCGCCAATCTGACCTGCTGTGCTGCGCCTAAACAGCAATTTGTGCGCGCAGCGCCAAAGTTATCCGAGCGTTATTGGCCGAGCGAAACACGTTAGATACACAAAGGACACTGCTGCAACCATATCTCGTGTAGTTTGGTCGCGTCATATTTCGGTTCATGCATGGTGCCCGCACCACGTGCGAACTTGCAACCATGCATGAATCTTGCACCTCGTGAACAAGATGCGCCTACCTTGTTAAGTTGGCGTTTGTATGTAGACCTCATTATGCGAGTTTATCTTCCAACCGTGAAGCTGTTGGATGGCAGTATTGTTGCGAAAAACTCGCCGCACCGTCGAATCATAAAAACTGAGAAAAAAAAAAATCTGTTCCCCCGGCGAAGCGATGAATGCAATAGCAACAAATTGTGATGTTGCCATGGTAATAGCGCACGCGCTCCCGAATTACTGGATAATCTTTTGTTGAGAGTACGCGCATAACACGTACATTTGTTATGCGGCCCCTAGCGATAACGCTGGTATCTTCGATGGTGTGCCAATGCGCTTTACTTCTTCGCAGATTATCTACTGCAAACGCTCTGTCTTCCCATAATCCCTGCTATCAGTCTACAGCATGTATTGCTGGTACAGTGACATTTTGTTTTTTGGTCTCAAGTTCGCTCAAATGAAAAGGACAGTCGCAGTCTTTCTCCACGTCATGAGCACGTTAAAATAGAAAGTAAGGCTGACAGCTAACTCTTTTGGATCCGAAAGTGCCTTACCTTACAAAATGCAGGTGTTTGATAAAAAGTGCGGTTGCTCCATGGAGAGATGCTCTTTTCGCACAATCTCTTTCCGTAGAGAGCGCCATGCGCTAATGCTTGCCGAGACAGCGCTCGCGCCATCGATGGCGATCGTGACCTCAGAATTTAAAGTTCACAGTTGCTGCTCCACTGACCCCTGCATTTTTTCAGGCTTGTTCAAGACGGGCGGTGTATTTCCTCTCTGCTTGAGCATTCGACAGCAGGTCTAACGCAATGCAGGACGCTATCGCTTGGCCTTTCGAGCGACGGAGATCAGCCACTTCGTTTAATCTCTGGTTGAGCTGCGCTCGTTGCCCCCGCTGGAGCGATTTTACCTGCGGGTAGAATATGCGATGCGCGGGGGAAGTTACCAATTTAGTGTTTACGCGAAACATGACGGCAATGGCAAAAATCCGTCAATTATCCATATAATTCTTATGCACCGCCTAGCAATGGCGTGGCGAACCCATTTTATTTTCCTCCGCAGTTTTTATGTCAGCTCTGGCACTTCAATGACCAGAACATACATAAGTTAAATTAATCTTTAGTCTTATCGGGTTCAAAATGAAGATAACCGATAATCTCATCTCTAATCTTGAGTTGCTTTTCATGTTGGATGCGGTATTTTCATTGCATTTTTAACATTGAAACATTTTAACACTAACGTTTTTCATTGTTCTGAGGTCTAGTCCAAAGTGTCGCTTATGTTTTTTTTTTAGTCTCTGCACTTTCAGCTTTGCTTTTGTAAGGATATATATATATATAATTCTTTGTGGTAAGTCTGGTTGCCTCCTCAGCATTGAATGTTTAGTTGAAAGAACCGCTGAAATAGTTCGGGTTTACCAGAAAGCAAAAAAAAAGTTAAAAGTGATGTTTGACCTTAGAAGTCTGCTCCAAAACTAAATTTCATTGCTTCAAAACACACCTATTGGTGCTCTAAAGCTGCTACAAAACCCCCATTATACTGCTCCGAAAGACTTAAGCCCGCTTCCACCTCTGAATAACGAGTTCCCGTAAGCTCGCCCAATTTTCTATATTATTTTATTAGTGAACTTGTGTTCATGTGATCTCTGCTTGATTTTGGTGCTCTTTATCTGATGAGCCTGGCTGCGCATTTTTGACTGACAAAGTGTTCTTTTGCGGACCTTTTGTCATGACCATGTGTATGCCTACCAGTTTTAGTGTTGTAAAGTTGGCATGTTTGCTGATCGCTCTCTCTCGCGTCTCCCCACCCCCCAGGAACCAGGTTAAAATGCACGAGCGGCCATTCACCTGCTACATCTGCCAGAAGGGATTCTTCCGGGCAGACGACGTGGAGAAGCACATGCGCGTCCACACAAGAGAAGCGTTCGTACGACTGCAAAGAGTGCGGCCGGCGCTTCAACGTCTCGAATAACCTGAGCCGCCACAGAAAGGTCCACACTGAGGACGCCGGGACGCACGCCTGTGCAGAGTGCGGCAAGACATTCAAACAGAAGACGCACCTCAAGTCCCACATGCGGACGCACACGGGCGAGCGTCCCTTTCAGTGCAGTCTGTGCTCCCAGCGCTTCACCGAGCTCGGCAGCTGCCAGGAAGCACGAGCGCATAGTGCACGCGCGTGATTACCCGCACTACTGCCCGCACTGCGGCAAGGGGCTCGCCAACAAGAACAAGCTGGAGAAGCACATCCGCGGTCGCCACTTTGAATTCGAAATGGTGGACAGCGACGAGGATGGCGGGAGCGTGATGCAGACGGTGAAGACGAAGTAAGGGAGTTCGTAGATCCACAGCATTTGGCTGACCAAATGGTGTGTGTAAGAAGTTCCTGGTGCTGCAAGTGCACGAAGCTGAGAAGCCAAGTCGGACTTGGCTGTCCGGTATTCACAGGCTTGCGTGTGCGTGGCGACATCAGCTGGCAACTTGGCAAGGGCTTGGCCAGCACCTTCGAGCCAAAGGCCTTTCAAACTGCAAATGCCTTGTGAAAGGGATGCTTGAAAGAAAAGTGCATTAGGGCAGACACTTTTTCTCTAGTGCCTAACCGGCAAAAGTGCTCAGGCAGGCATTTGAAGAACCTCTATGCCTGCTTAATTTGCTGTACGATGTAACAGCAAGGACTGCAAGTGGTACCTCTAAAATTATATAGGCAGTGGTGGCATGGTCTTGCTAGTGCAAAACGTTCTGCCAAACTTGAAATTCTGAAGCAAAAACAGATGGCAATGCTTCTAGAATGCAACCAGCAGGATCAATTCCCTGAACCAATAGCTGCATGATAATAGCTGCGAAAGTAGCACTGGCTGTGTAATCACTCCAACTGAATGCTCCATTGTGCTAACCTTGAAAGGGTGCATATGAAGGGAACAGTGGGTTTTTAACATAGGAAATAAACGTAGGACCATGGTTCCACGTTTCAATCGACCACGTCTACCTTGCACTCCAGCAACTTACAACCTGAATCTAGCCTGTATTTTCACACAGACTTTGTGAAGAACTCGCACAAGGAAGACTTGTGTATATAAGGAAATAAGCTTCACCGCCGGCAACAGTAATAAGGGTGGGATAATGAAATGCAGAGTTAATCACCAAGCCAGAAATTTTTTAGTTGAGCTTTCACGGCTTTTCATCTTATGTGAGATGATCCATAGAGTGAAAAAAAGTTACACATGGATGTGGAGAAACTTGTTTATCTGACCATTCATATACCAAAACTTTGTCTCAAGACACAATGTTAGAGTCAAATTTTCTGTCTAGCCTATACAAACAAGTCTAGGCGCTATTAACAGCAATTGTTTCAGAAAGACCAGAGACACCGTAGAACCGATATGTCTTCGTTTGTTGTAGACAGAACGAGAATTGAAAAAAATGTACAGAGCGTGCCCCTCACCAACCTCTCCTTCCTCGCCATAGATGTGCACGTGATTGTGCTAGGACAGCTGCAGAAAATGACTGAGCTAGGCTGCATTATAATGCGCCCCTTTCTCCCAATAGATGATGAATCGATTGCCGGTGTAATTTATGACATTGACATTGCAATTCCTGATGTTGACTTGCCTATCCCCATCAAGCCTGCAAACGAGGGACCTGTCATTACGGTGCGGCGCCTTGGAAATACGCGCTGTGTGAAAGTGTTTTTCAAGGGAGATTGCAAACCACCCCATGTTAAAGTTGGACATTTCCGACATTCGGTTCGGCAATTCATCCAAAAGCCACTTCAATGTCATCAGTGCCTCAGGCTAGGACACGTCAAGGGCATGTGCCCCAACTCACGACTGTGTCCCCGTTGCGCTGAACCTCATGCCGAAGACACCTGTCAGGCGACTACTCTGAAGTGTGCCAACTGCAGCGGTCCTCACACTGCCTCGTCGAAAGACTGTTCTCGAATCCAAAAGGAACGTGCGGTTCTCAAACAAATGGCCCGAGACAACTCGACATAAAGGGAGGCAGCCGAAGTAGTCCGGCGTTGGCATTATCGAAGTCTTTAAAGAAGGCACATTCCCGAAATGCTAGTTCCCACTCTTTAGCAGTTCCACTCAGTAACGCCGCAAAAGGACCCACCACTTCTACGAAAGGAGCGGAGAAGCCTCCTTCTCTGGAGGAATGGCCCACGCTCCCGACCTGCTCTTCTGCCAAGGAATCTCAGCATTTTGCGGCCACACCAGAGCCATCTCCAGCCATGGAAGATTTGCCTAAAACAGATCGTCAAGTGATCTCGGTGCTGGGTTCCTTCATGGAAGCCATCCGAGCGATATTAGTCGACATGAAGACAGCATCTGCTCTAAGCGCACTTGGAGTATTGGACGCCATAAGCCCAGTGCTTGAATCTCTCAACTATGAAGATGGCTACACACACCTCATCATTTCAAAAAGAAGTCAAGGCTGCATTCGTCATCCAATGGAACGCCAGAGGACTCAAATCACGCCTTTCATATTTTCGTCAGTTTGTGTATACCAACGTGTTTCCACTCATCGTCATTTGTGAACCCAATCTGTCGAAGCCAATAACACTTTCGGAATATGAAGCTGTCATGCCTTCAACAAACAGTGCGTGCAGCAAAATCATCGTCTTTGTTCGTCGTGAACTGATGTATGTTGTGCAATTAATTGCGCCTCACGATGACAATCAGTATGTCTGCATCACTGTGAAAAAGAACAAACTCATGTTTACTCTCATAGGCATTTATATATCGCCTTCGAATGATCTCGATTCCAGGAGATTAGCGGATATTTTGAGAGTGTGTACTGCACCATGGGTCATCATAGGTGATTTCAATGTGCACCATCACGCATGGGGAAGTACGCAGACAAATGCAAGAGGACACAGGTTAGCAAACACCGCCTACAGCTATGGCCTTACTCTCCTGAACGACGGTAGCCCCACTTTTCTTCGAGGGGTGACATACGGCAGCTGTTTCGACCTTGCTTTTGTCTCCAACTCCCTCGCGAGATACGTCAAGTGGTTTCAGATGTTGAGACACGAGGAAGTGATCACATTCCAATCTACCTTAACATCAAAGGCTAGTCTAGTTGTGGTCCACGGATGACCATTCGAGTAGTCCAATGGACCAACTTCAAATCTGATATGGAAGATGCTTGCAGCGATGACCTACGATCTGGGTTAGAGCAAACAATTAAGAGCATAATGCAAAACGCCACTCGCACGGTGACGATATCTTCCGCACAAAACGACTTTGACATAGAGTTGGAGCGACTCCGAACACTTCGACGCTGGGCAGAGCATTGGTATCGGCGCACAAAATCAATTCACAATCTTAGGGCAGCCAGGAGTATGCAAAAGAAGATTAGGCGTCGCATGGATAGATTAGCGTCGAAACGATGGACAACGTTTTGCCAGTCACTAAACCCTCGCAAGCCACTCTCACACATTAGGAAAACGGTGCAAGGTCTGCATCACCCTACGAAACAGCGTTTTCCATTCAAAGTGCTCGCGCTCTTTCAGAGGCGGCAAAACATCAATGTCGCAGAAGATTTCTGTGCGCAGATCGCCAACCAAGCCACTCGTCCAGAACCAAGCCACTCGTCCAGACACCAAGGGGGTATCGATGATTTAGATGCAGGAGTGAAGTCCGAGGGAAGTTTCTTGTTGTACTTCACAATCATTTTAGCGAACGATGCTTAGCGCCTCTCTGAAGGCAACAGTGCAAGGTGATGACAGGGAGCACGTGCAAAGTGTCTGATGTGCGTTCTCAGGACTTCTACAGCAATGCGAGTTTGTATCAGACAGTCACCAGCAATTGCAATTGTTGCCTCTGTTGACGTACATCTGGGCAGACCAAGGCACACTCTCAGTGCTTGGGCTTGTACTGCCTGTAGAACAGGAACATTGGTCTTGCAGGTATTGCTCAGCACGGGCAAGCTATATCTCAGGAAACCGAGAAACAGGGCTCTGTAGAGTTCCATCATTGCGTCTACTGACATCCGATGGCTCCACAAACCGCCGATGGCTCCACAAACCGCCAGTGTTCGTCAGGGGCAGTAGTTGTCCCAGCAAGAGGTGTTACCATCAGCTTGAGGACTGACCACTCCACGGCATCTACAGCAGCGGAACTAGCTGCTTTGCGCACTGCACTTTGTGTGGTCAATCGGGAACCACTGCAACAATGGTCGGTTTTCAGCGACTCAAGGGCTGCCCTACAATCTGTGCTCTCAGCACTGCGTCGCGGGCCGTACGTACAGCTTGTTTTCGAAATTCGATGCCTTCTCCACACTTCACACGAGAAAGGGCATCATGTGATGTTTCAGTGGCTGCCAAGTCACTGTGGCGTCATAGGGAACGAACATGCCGATACTGCCACGCGGGCAGCTCTTGAAGGAACACGAGAAGAAGCCATACTACTTTCGCGAACCGACGCTGCCAGTAATCTTCGACGACTTGCGCGTGAAATCACGTTTTCACTATGGTGCCCATCAAGCAACGAGACGAATCGTCAGCACCACCTGATGGCTCTCCGCATGCCCACTGGGCTCGACCGAAGAGAAGTTACCCTTCTTCATCGCTTATTGCTAGGAGTGGCATTTACAAAATCTTATTCATTTGTCATAGGAATGGTCGACAACACTCTCTGCGATGCCTGTCATTGCGAAGAGACGCTACACCACATTCTGTTGTATGACATCCAGAGACAGTCACTGGCGTCCATTCTTGCGCACATTGACAACAGCCAAATGTCTGTGGGCACTATTCTTTCAAGCGCCCGAGAGAAGACATTGCAATAGAAGGCGACAAAAGCTCCGTTGAAATTCCTACGCGACACGGGCTTGAACAAGCGGCTATAACAGCAATGTCACACAGCCGCGAAAGACTGGACTATGACTGAGTGTGCGCGCGTGTGCTGCCCTATGTGCTGTGTTTATCTTTTCTTTCTCTCCTCTCTATTTTTCATCACCCCTACCCCCTCCCATGTGCCAGGGTAGCAAACCGGCTGCATATAGGCTGGTTAACCTCCCTGCCGTTCTTTTCCTCTTATTTTCCTTCCTTCCATGAAAGAAACACTGGACACTTTTAAAGCACGCTAAGCGATAATTCAGTCTAGCTTTGCAAGTTTGTGCTAATTTCACTGCCAAGTTTTGATGAAGTGGCAATATTTCGGTTTAGCCGCATTGTTGACATCCATAAAGAACAGACCGTCGAGCTAATCAGCCTAGTAGCTATTGACTGTGCCCAAGGAGTGGAACAAAGTGAGCCACAAAGTTGGAAAATCTGCATTGGTGCAATTCGGCGTGCAAGTTTCAACCTGTGTGTCCCGTGTTGTTTGTTTATTTGTTCATTCATATGTGGTGCCCTCAAGGCCCCACAAAAGGTGAATGGCAAATAAGACACAACAGTAGAGCGCTTATACGATTCCTTAGCCCATGAATGTCGGACGCTGGTAGTCATCGCCGCTTCTGCTTCGGACCCGAAAATAAAGTGGCGAGATCGGCGTGTCCATGTCGGCCTCCTGAACAACGCAGTCTCTCTTCCTCGCTACACCTTGTTCACAATGACTCAGGTTGTTGTGATTAAGGATCCAGTGTGGGAGCCGAAACGTCTCGTTTTCTTTTAAAGCGCCTTTATTGTGCTCGGTGTTTCGTATTCTTTTAATGTGCCTCCTCCTGACCAGACTGGATTCCGTCAGGACCCTGTATTTCATATAAGTGTTTGTTTGGCAGCTTCAGCTCGTTAACCTTCTTCTTTTCCTAATACATGACACATTAGAAAGTTACATCAGTGTGTGACTGTTTATTATGCCAAAGCTTGTGACAATGAGGTATAAAACTGAAACAAAGAAAGACATAAGTAGAGTTTTGTGCATTTCTCTTTCTTAAAGGGCCAGTAAACAACCCTGAAGTCCAAAAATTGTAATGAAAAGAAGTATGTGCACTTTTGCTGTGTGACCATGCTGCCACAAGAATTTCGCGAATACATGTCATAATATAGAACTTACAGTGGTTAGAATATCCGTTTTAGCTGGTTCAAAACTTTCGTGCAGCCTCGGCACCCTTCTCCATCATAGGTAGGGGGAAGGCGTAGCCTGTCGTCATGATTAATAGAGTTAGGTGGTTGCCGTGCCACAGGAGTACGCCATAATATTACCACCGACTTAGCTACAACAAGTACGAAGACACTTCGAGCCAACAATGGTGTGAACGGCGCTGCACTAAACGAAGCAAACAGAAGCAATAGCTAATCCCTCGCTTGGCCTCCACTTTCACGGAGAAAAACGGTTGTGACTTCACATGAAAGTCTTCTATGCTCATATACAGCAAGGCGAAGATTACCAGCCGCTACAGTCCATTAGCCAGTCGTCTACTGGATTTAGATGCCGCTTCACATAATTTTTTTACACCTTTGTTAGGGCGGCACGATGCTGTCGACCTTGGTTCAGTCAGTAGTGAGAACCACCAGCTCGGTTATTGGCCCCCGCAGTGACACTCGCCAACCGCCGACTCTGAGAAGATAGTGCATGGACTATATTTTAAGCCCTATAACATTAATCCAACGTCATGCCGAGCCACCGCATTGCATTCAAATTTTGGCGGCTCTCTGACGTCGTGCGTGACGTCTCTTTTTACGTTGCGCAACTTCCGCTGTGACGATAGTTATAGCGCGAGAACAAAACCCACCAAACATGCCATACCAACTAGCCCAAGCTGCCACACTTCCGCTGTGAGCTTGTGACATCTACAGGGAAAGAACGAGGCTAGTAGGCCATACGAATGAAATTCTGGGAGCACGCGAGAAGCGGAGGAGCGCATCAGAGGCGTCGTTGGAAGTACCGACTACAGTTCCAAGAATAGGGTATTATAACACCGACGACCGCATTTTCTGCTTTCATTCACCGTTACTGCGGTAGGGTGTTGTGCGTATGGCCTAAGCGTGGTTCGCGATTTGCTAAATTTACGTGGACGGCACATAAAGCGAGCGAAAGTAAGACGGCTGGCACCGCGTCGACAACCCACATTCGCGTTGTGCCTGCGATCCTTCGTTTGCCCACTGCGTTTAGTAGGATTACACTTGTCCAATATCTGTGAACGGTACGGTGACACCGTCAATGAAAATTTGTGGCCTAGCAAGTCTCTTCGTAAATTATGCTTTCCTCAATCACAATACAGAGCAGCTGTATGTTGTTACATATGCTCTGCGACTTGCACAGGAAGGCTGGACAAGTGGCAAAACTGCTGCAAAGCAATAAAATGGCAAGATGCTGCCACAAGCTCTGCTGTTTAGTCAGTCTTCGTAACGTTGAGTTAGTGAAGCTGCTTGAATATTTCTGTGCAATTTGTTATGATTGCATTGCAGTGGGATAAAGTTGAGGTTTCATAATTTATTTTGAAATGCTATATAAATACATCGATCATTTTTTGTTTGGCAACTTTTAAAGTGTTCACATTTCTGATTGGATATTTGAAAGCAGCTTTTTCTTCGTCGTTTAGTTTAAAGAAAAATACAAGTCCAGCTGATTCAGTGATATATATTCTTTTTATTTCGATACATGTCTAGAAGAACAAGGCAGAAAAAAAAAAAACACGCTTCAGGTACCTTGCGCAGTTTCGCTCAAATATATACATGCACAAACATTCAGAAGTCGAGCGACTGAAATATGTGTGGCCCCAAATTTCATACCGAGTGACTTGGGAGTCCACAGCTGGAATGATTTTCCGGCTATGGAAGGTAATAAATATTGCGCAATGTTGATGTTCGTGAGGGTACAGAATGGCGCTAATCGGGTCGGATAATCGCCTCGACGTAATCGTTTTCTTCTGCATGCAGATACGGTAGGTTTGGAGTACGGAACCTAATGTATAACAGTGAAATGTTATTTATTTGCTTTGATATTTAGCCAGACCAGGCTATGGCCAGACAAAGCAGCTTCGAATACACGGGGAAAGGAAAGGCGTGTTGTCTGACGTGCATCACGATACGTGCGAACGAGAATACGCTGCCAAAGATAAGGTTAGCGCGCGGATAACGTAAACGGTATGCGGCAATTCAAGCAATAAATCGCCTTGCTAGCTCCGGTTAGAACATTGGGCCACGTACTGCTTTCCTATAGTTGCGACCGTCGTACACGAGAATGGCTCACTGCCGCCTCTCGCATTAAAAGAGCCGTAGACGATGCCGTTCTCGTCAAAGAATTCTAGGCTGCCTTCGCCGAGACAGCACTGTGCCGAAGGAAAACAACGAAGCTGCGGCGCCAACCATTTTCGGAGAAGGTCGCGAGCTTCGAAAACGACCGCTTTCGACCCCAACCTATGTAAACTGAACTCGCAACCGTGAAGACCAACGTTCACTCTAGGCTTTCAAACACGTTGCATCATGTTTGAAGTGCAACGGCTGCATAAAAATGCACATTCAGAACTCCAGCCGGCTATCAACAACGCAGTCATACGAGTGGTGATGCAGACGACACGAGAAACCGGCAACGACGCCGGCGTGCCCACCCATAAGCCTCGTATATTTTTCTTGCCTGCCGGATGAGCGCGAAACGCCCGTCATCTATAGCGGCGCCACCTACGTAGAATTTAGGGTCTTAATACTTGGCCTTTGAGATGAGCAATTTTTGCATGTGCTATTTTCAGAGGCTATGCTTTGTTTAGAACGGATTGCTTGCTGAATGAATGCAATACGCCTGTCTTTTATGGCGGCGTCAATTGTGCAGTGTTAATTATAATGACGTTTGCGTCTTTTCAAAACTTTTACGTTGTTTTTGTTGCATATCAGCTCCAAAAACGTAAAAACTTATTTGAAGACAATCCTACTTAAATAGTGCCATCACCGCAGTTCCGACGACAGTTGTTTTCTAAGTGACCACCATTAATCCGGCAGGCAAAAAAAATCTAGGAGGCTATGGCCCACAACTCCCCTACAAAAGCACGTGATTTCCGCCGCATTTACCGCTCTGCACGCTGTCTGCAGGGGCCTCTCCTCAGCTTATCTTCCTTCATGCAGTGAGCGAGAAAAAGTCCGCAGCCAGTGCCATGGATGAGACAAAGTATATTGACAGAGGCGGCAAAGAAGATGACGATTACGGTAACTTATTCTCTTATGTGTCACCAGCCGCTCCACGCGTCCTGCTTTTTCACTCCTGTTGTGCTGTCTGAAGCAATGTGCTATTTTCTCCTCTTCCGTAGTCCTAGTCATGCGCTTCTTCGCTTACGCGACTTTATGTTCGTGTGTCTTTGCTGTCGGTATTGTCTCTGTCTACCCAATGAAAAATAGCGCAAAAGTTACGGCAAACTGCCTACCTTGTTGTGCTTTGTCGGCCCCAGAGGAGACGGCAGTGTCGGCAGTCAATTTCTGCAGTGCACACTGCAGGATTGCTGATAGTTCGCGATAATTTGCGTGTAAACGTCTGTGAATTGCCGCAGCGAACAAAACTTTGTGTAAACATGGCAAGATTATTCACAATTTGCGGAGCAGCGCAAATATTTCACTGCTAGATTCCGAAGCGCGCGACTCCGGAAAGAGGCGTGACGATAGGACAGAACGAGCGCTAGTGTCCTTCTTGTCCCTTTGTCGTCGTTCTGTTCTCGCGCTATAACAATCGTCATGTCATACCAACTAGCCAAAACTGCCACACTTCCGGAAAAAGCTTGGGCATCGAGACAGCGAAACGTCAGGTTACATAGCTAGCCTATTTTACGTGGTGCATATTTGTTCGAGCACATTGCACGGTAGACGATCGAGTACTTATGGCTGAACGCTGGGAGGATCGGGACTGGAGTGTGCCCGTTAGTGCTTGTTTGCTTAATTTGAAGACAGTACGCCTTACAGGACCCCGAGCCAAATTTTTATGGAAGGTCAACGAGCACATTAAGCAGTGATGCCAATGCGGATGTGTACTGAAAAGGGCAGTTTGTAAGTTCAAACGTCGTTCAAGCGTGTAAAAAGCATGGGTGCCCCCCCCCCCCCTCCCGCCTTCGCCTTTTCTTCTTTTTTCACACTTGTAAAAAGAAATCCTGGTGCCGTCTCTGGTTGGAAGCCATTGTAGTAGTACACCAATGGCTAATATGAATTAAATGCGTATATGAATAGTCGAAATGTACAGCTTATGAAATGCAAACTTGGCAATGTTTTAGTAAGTGACATGAAATTGAATGGGTACTGTCACCTCACTCGCCCGCTGGAAATATATTCTGGTCGTCAAGGCTAGCTCATCGCCCTCGTTATTTTGAGAGTGTTCAGGGAGCATGGCATCAATATCTGCTAACTTATTACTACTGACCTTTGTATGGCTGCCACCAAACCTTCACTAACATTTGTAATGGGAGGATATCAGCCGTTTCGCAAACACTTGATTGAACTTGGCCTAGTGGCTTGGGTGGATATATCGCCCATTGCAAGTTTAGAAAGCCGCAGCCTGACATTTGTGAAATGCACCTCAGCAGGTGCTGCAAATGTTGGCAGTTGTTACATCAGCTTTGGTCATCTCTCTAGCACAGGACCCCTCATTGATAACAATGTCTTTCAGACGATCACATGCATAGCAATGAGTCTCAGTCGCTGTAACTAGTCACCACAACACAGATGTGAGGTCGGTTGGCATTGGCTTCCTTTGGCAGTTGCGACTGGCTGTTTGCATGCATGTCACCTGTGTTCACCGAGCGAATCATCCTTAAACTTTTGCGCCTACCTGTGTTGTAACCTGGAAGCTTTGTCATGTGCCTTCTTTCGACTCTGCCTCTAGATGGTGCCACTTTGTCCAACACTGTCCATGACGCAAGTTTCAGCAATGGTACATTCATGCTTGTGCTTAAAAAAAACTATAGCAAGCTTGTGTTTAACAGCAGTGAGCTGGCCTTTGCTTTTTATGTGATGAATGCTGTCCGGGTACTCAATATGTTTAAAGTCTAGTATGTTTCTGTTCCCTTGGTACATTTTATCACTATAATTTGTCAGCAAACTTTTTGGAAGGGGGAAATAAATGTGTTTAAAACCTTGCATATTGCATCTTTTAACTTGATGCACTATTCACTTTACACTTCACGTATGCCTGGTTGAATAGGATAGAAAGATGTTATTGTTTTGTCTATTGCTCTCATGATTGCCACAGTGCAGTTGCATGTATCCAGAGTGCTTATGTGTTCCTGAAGTTAGTAATATTTTGTCACGTTTTAATAGCATAAGCAAGAAGCTGTATTAGCTCCACTGTCGTTACAATTGTGTGTAATGCACAATATCGCTACAGTTGGCCTTAAAGCTTCTTGTTATAGGGGGGGGGGGTGGCCAAAATGATAAGGGTAAAATTTTTTTGATTTATGTGATACACAATATCAATGAAACCATCTGTCTTTCCAGAAACAACCATTATGGCAAGGCTACTGAGAGATTCATCTAAGGATTGCCAGGTATGGTGGCCATCTTGTACGTTAAACGCTTGGGTCATTGCAATTGACAAGAGTGTCCTGGCATGTTTAAGAGGTGGTGGTGGTGGTGCTGCTGCAGGCGATTTTAGCCTGCCAGACCTGGCCAGCAATCGCTCTGCCATGGCTTCTCTTTCCACAAAATATGTGCTGCCAAGCGTTGCTCAAAGTGGCCCTGCAACACTTTTCCTAGTAATCGTTGAACGGCTTTATTATTGCCTCACTAATGGATTGCTGCGAAAGTTTTTTTGGAATCTTCTAGTGTGACCAGGGTTAGCGTTTTGTCGCATGTTGCTAATGCTTTCTTTCTCCTTTTGTACGAGCGAGCGCATTTAAAAGCTGCGCAGGAGGACATGCAAACGGGAGGCAAGAAGATGCGTTCATTCAACAGCGCATGCCGTGACCTAGCGCACTTTTATTTTTTCTTTCAATGTGTGGCTTACATTAAGTGTGATTGCGAGCATTCGCGTGCATAGTTGTGTGCACGTGGGGTGGGGTGTGGGGGCATCTCTTTGTCGGTTTAAAGGAGGAGGCACAAAATCAGCCCCATGCATTCACAAAATATGGAGGAGGGGACTCTGCAATGACCCTCCCCCTCTAGAGGGGGAACCTTTCTCACGCTTATGTGAGCTCATCATGTCGGTATCCTGTGGCGGCCGTGGTGGTAATGCAGCTCCACTGTGCTCAACTTAGCCTGTGGTTGTGGACTTTTACTTTATGGCATCGTTTGTTGAGAGAAAAAGCTAGTGATTTCTAGATGATTTAGAGTTATTTCCAGGCCACGCTCTCTTAGGAGCCCCGGCTACCAGTCGGTGGCATTTTCTGACCACGCTGAAAAAAAGCGTTGCAGGGCCCCTTGAACCAGTTTCTGATATATCGGTTAATCGCGTGAGGCACGCTTTCTTGCGAACCATTCACGCACCTTCAAAAACATGACAGGGAAAGTCCTCTTTCCTTCATGCTGTCCATGAGCTTCTTCTTTTCAATGCAAGTGTGTTTGCTAGACCATGTGTATTCATATCTATCGCCCACTTGATTGAATTCACCGAGCAGTGAAGTTGTCGCTCCCTCCACCCATTTGAACGACCATGCAGGAGTGCGCGTTGTGCTCGTTTTTGCCCTACAGAGCAGTGACTCGCCGCATTGAAGTTACCTCCTAACACGGGGCCAGTGCAGTAACCCCCTCATCATAGTGACTCAGCGACTCTGGTGTCTTGCAAAAAGGGCAGTAGTGGGAATATGCAGATTGTATCGCTGGCGAATCCGCCTTTTTCATTGTGTCACGGTGCAAGTTTCCTTTTCCTAGTGGACGTGCCTCATGTTGTCGGAGCCTTTCTGATAGTGCCGTATGATGAAACGGAGGAGCGCTTGTCCTGTTTCTTCCGCTTTTCTCCCGCTGCTTCTACTTTTTTTTTTTTTTTCGCGCCGTTCCGTTTCATCATGAAAGTACATCTACGCGCTGAACTTTCCATCCTTCTGGTGATACCAGTTGTCCCGGCTCCCACCAAAACGTCAGGGAGCTGCACAGGAAAATGAAAACGACTTATTACACTAGGGTTGTGCAATTGATGAAATTCGCAAATATGAAACAGTAGTTTTCTATTCAATTTGGTATTTATATCGAATAGCTACTATTTGTAAATGAATATTTTCCTATGAGCTTATGTGTATTTCAGTATGTCATCAGGAGGTGGCATGCTTGACAGTAACAGTGTTGTTTAGGCTTTGCTAAATCGAGTGGCATGCTTCGTGGGAGAGGGAATGGAAAGGACGTCATGTGATTGATCACGTGAAGGAGTTGTAACTGAAAGTGGGAGAGAATCAATAAATAAAACAAAATCACCTCAGTCAGGATCTGTTCACCCAGGCCTTCACGGCGCAAAAACAAGTGTTGTAATCTGCTGGTCTATACACAACTCGTGCTTGCACAACACAAATTTATGGGCAGCACATGAATGCATTTTATTACTGCATAACTATGTGAAAAGAAGGAGCCTTCTGAGCGGAGAAAAAGAAGGGAGTCGACACTAGAAGAGAAAGTTGGGCTAGTCGGTGGTCTATACTTGAAATGGAAAAACAGTGCTAAAGAACAGATGAGGACTGAGGAAGACGGGACACAGGCACTGAACTCGTTACTAAACAATTGGCCCCGTATCTGCTTGTTACACTGCAAATGTCGTCGAAAGACGATAGTCTTGTGTCAGGAGAGAGTGAACAAAACGTTTATTTGATGTTCTGCGCAAAGAAATCGGTGAATTGTATGTTGGAGGTGCTGCGTTAACGTGCCTCAAGTGTGCAGCGGAGACGAACAAGCGCATCAAATCACGTCACACGTGAGACATGAGCGCTATCTGGCAGTTATCTTAGAAAACGAAGCATGCGGGGTGCGCACCCGTCTCGGAGGCGACAAGGTCTAGAACGCAAGGCGAGAGGTAGGGGCCACCACCGCGTCGTCTGAGGAAAGCGTTAAAAGCACTTGCTTTTTCGTGCAAGCGTTGCATTGTCAGCGCAGCGTGATAAACGCTACGATCCTTAGAATTAGTTATATATGCCCTTTCCAGTAAAAAGACTCATACAGATTATTGACGTGTTGTTATGGCACCTTAATTATGGGCAATAATTGCTTTTTAATTGACAATTGCACAAGTATAAACGCTATATCTTGAGCAATATTGGTGGGTGCTGTGGTTGGGGTTCGGCCGTATGGGGTGTAGTTTCATGCCATTTGGGGTATCGTTAATGGCGGACAAACAGACAAATGAACAGACAGAAATACAAAAATTTTTGCGTCGAAGGTCCCCGAAAAAGACTATCCTCTTTAAAATTTATTGGAGGACACACGCGCATATATCAAACGGCCGTCCTAGTCACGTGGCATGCCCTGGCCTGCGCTCAGCAGAGCAATCGTGGTAAGAATTACTTAATCGGCAAAATATGACATGTGCGAAAATGTCAAAAAAAAAAAAAAGACCAAAGCGAACCAGCTGCTGGTGAAAAAATGCGCAATAGTCCGCAAAAATAATTGCTCTAACACAACCAGCAGCGCTGAACCCAAGTATCAGACCTCCTTTTCCTTTTAATGTTAAGGGGGCAGACTGCTCTTTGGGGCCAAAAAGTGACAAAAAAATTCATTTTTTAAAATTGACATATTTGGTTTCTGCAAGTACTTTTTTATCTCTCTGCAAATTTTCACGCACCAGGAAATAGTAATTTTTTTGTAATGTCATTTTAACTGTCCAGATTCTTGGTGCTGTTAACATGCAGAACCTGCAAAAAAATGGGGAACCGACTTTGAGGCTTCTTTATAATTTGCCAGCGCCTTTGTCTGAAGCTCTACTATCAATTTATGAGTGCCTTAATGAGGATTGCAAAACATGTGCACCATGTTTTTTGCTTTTTGAAGAAACTGTGTGTTTTCAGTTTTTTCTATTTTTCTCAAAAAAGTAAATTTGTGACTATTCAATTTTGAGGCCTCAATATTTCTGTAGCTAGGGCAGGTACAACAATAATTCTCTTTGCAGTGGAAACCTGTAAGTGTGTAGAATGCAAGTATGGGAGCAGAATTTAGAGCACATGCCTTTTTAATTAATTACTAATCAAAATTGTAACACAATTCCAACTGCTTTTAAAAATATATAGTTCATTTTGCTGCAAAATAACCAATAAAGGCCTAAAAACAAAAACCTCTTCCATACTTTCACTCTATAGTCATTAGTCTACGTTGGCATATCCTAAATATCACTTTTAATTAAGCACTTTTTTTTCTATGGTGGCCTTAAACAATAGGGGGTGAACTTAGGTTATCTCAGAAACAAAGTGAGTTATAGGAAAACTAATTCAATATTTGAAATCAGCAGAAAAAACTGCATAACTCTGTGCAGTTTTATCAAGATCACTGAAGAAATAAACAAAAAATGTCTAAGACCAGTCCGCCCCCTTAAGTGCTTCGATCACGTCCCTAGTGCATTTGTCCCGATGGCCAAACACACAAGTGGTTTCCTCTGCCATCGGCTTGCAGCCACACATTGTACAATGAACTGCAAGTGCCATCTGCCGAAAGTCGTTAACGAGTCATTAAAGGGAGTCACGCACGAAACCTGTGGGCACTGTAATATCTCAAAGGCTGACCCTGTGCATATCATGCACAGCAGCAGCGCTGCCGACACTGCTTACGATTAGTGCAGCCGCAACAGTGATATGTTTTTGAGCGAGTGGAATGGGCCACAGCCAAAGTCGTACACTACCGTAGCGTTCCAGTACGGCTGAGAAGGAGCTTATCGTCATGCGGAATTCGCATGGCTTAACCTGATGGACAGAAAAACAATAAAAAATGCTTATTGAAAACTTTGCCGAAACTTATGGAGCTAAACTGAATTTCTCATGAAAGGGATGACAGTTTCGCAGTCCACACTTTTCGCGACATAAGGCTGGCTGGATTTTTTATTTATATGTACAGGCCAATCTACCCAGCACCTGCACGCAAGAAACGCAGACGCAGGAAGTCGACGAGGAGTCCGGCGCTCTACTTCCAAGGATGCCCGATAGACGTAGTGCTCATTGCTTCTGAGATTACTTGTGGAACACATGTCTAGTACATATGACATTGGGAGAACGTAAGACAGGTTCAGACGCTTGGTGCCTAAGAACAGTCTGTGGAGGTGGCCTTAAAGCAGGGTTCTATTGTTTTCTGTAGAGCTCGGGGGGGGGGGGGGGGGGGGGGGGGGAGTGTTTTGAGTTGTACGAGTGGTCAGGGAGGGTGTCATCTCGTCTCGTTTTACCCGATTATGTCATACATTTTGTTTGCTCATAGAAGGAAAGTTGAACTGTGTTTTGGATTTAATGGAGCCATTGGCAACAAATTTTCTGGCATTTTGCGAGGTAGCAAAAGGGTTATGAAAATGGCAACTGACAACCACGTGGTTGCAGTGGAAGTGACAAGGAAATCTATTAATATTGCTCAGAAAGGTAAGCTTCTAGCTGACTAAAAATCCCTTTTGGTCTGGGAATTGAAGCAACGCCTTTCCGGGGCTGTTTCTTTACCAGATGAGCCAGCCAGAATGATATCGATCAGTAGCGTGAGAGACAACATTGTGGCATTGCAGTGTCCGTGTGCATCTGGCTACGTTCATGTGGTTGTCAGTTATGCATTCCTATGATGGCGCCATGGTGTGATGCTTGTGATTTGGTACAGTCAGAATTCGATATAGAAAATCGAGATATAAATCGAGATATAACTAATTTTTGGTTACAGTAAAATAAATGAATTGCATTTCTGTAGTGAGCTCTTGCTGTAGTGTTCAAGTTGCAACAAAGCCTAGACAGCCGCAGTGGTTGTAACTTGTTCTAATTGTGTGATATGCGAACAGCACGGTGGTTGTGCCGAGAGCTTTTAGTTCGGCCTTGCTAGTGTAGTTAGTATATCGATTTGAAGGTTTTGCTAGCTGAGAAGCCGCTTGTCGGCTCATAAAGAATGCATATTTTTTAACGGATGATCTAATTTTTCGGATGATTTCACAGTCCTGTGAAGTTTTGAAAGTTAGATGTTGATGGGGAAAGCTTACTAGTGAAATGCTTTTTGAAAGGGGGAATTGCATAATAGGCTTTATCTTGTGTGTAATGAAAGGATTTGCAATATACCTCTGTAAATGATGTATCAACGTAGAAAAGCTTTCTTTTTTTTTTTTTGCAGCCTTGAATATTTCAGATTTTTAGACATTTTCACATATGATGCCTCATTCACATGGAATCTAAATTTAAAGTGGCTTTATTGTATTTTCTAAGGTGTAGGGAAAAATTTGGTGTGATTGTGAGATTTTCTGGTACTATAGAATACTGATTCAGACACCCTCCTCGACATGGCATTGATGCAGGTAGCTTTGGCAAAAATTCTAGGTGGTGACCAATATGTTCAACTCCCTTGACAGTAAAAAATTTAATGTACTCGAAATTGCAGATAAAAATCTTTAATAAAGGTAATTTGTTCTAATTACATTAAAACTTGGATTTTTCATGTTCTGAGGGGGATTAGTGCTTGCTGGGTAGGGGTTTTAATGGTGGTTAGTCTGAGTTGGTTCTAAAGAGCCAAGTGAAGCCAGGAAGGTCTGTTGCTAGAGTAGCCCAATGCTGTCTACTGCAGGTGAGTCTGGTACCGTCACCGGCATGGAGTTCTTCTGCGCGTCATGTGGCGGCAGATTTGTGACGGCCAAGCGACTGAGAGCACATGTGAAGGTCTCGCACAAAAACAGGTGCTCCCTCTGCAGCTATACGGCGGATACAAAGTGAGTGACCGTTCTGTTTATCTATAGCGTGATAAAAAGTCCGCCGCGTTGGCGTAGTGGTCGGAGCACTCTGCTTCCGACTCGAAGGTCGCAAGTTCAATCCCAACCGCGGCGGTCGTGTTTCGACAGAAGTGACACAGTAGAGGCCCGAGTGCTATGCAATGTTTGTGCACGTTGAAGAACACCGGATAGTCAAAATGGTCAGCGCTGTCTACTACTGTGTCCCTCGTAAATCATATCGTAGTTTTGGGATGCTAAACCGCAGATAACATTTATATATTGTGAAAGAAATGCCATTGGAACTGGCATGTATCGAATCGTTCGCTATGTTCACACGTGCAGTACTTTTTGTGTTTTCATGCAGCTGGCCTGTTCGATGTGTGACCAACGCTTCACGCAAACAGCACTGCAATGTTTGGGAAAGCTTTGCGATCATTTCAGTCTTTCTCATGATTATGTGGCGAATCCCGTAGAAGCCAAGTTTGTTCTCGATCTAACGCTAGCACCAGTGATAATGCTAGAAGATTCAAGGCACGTATAAAAGCCGATGCAATTTTGGGACTACTCCCCACAATGGTACAGTATTTGTGGTGTTGGACTACTGATCCACAGGTCACGGGATCAAATACCTGTTGTGGCGGCCGCATTTCTGCTGGGCTCGAAGTCCATGTGCCTAGATTTACGTGCGTGTCAAAGAATGCCAAGTGGTCCAAGTTGCCAGAGCCTTCTTATAGGGCGTCCCTCATAATTATATCCCCAACAATTATTGTTATTATTATTATTAATACTATTAAGTTTCAGGGACTAGTAAATTACCAATAGTTGGCGACTGTGATCACTGCTGTCGATATACAGCACGTATTGCTTGTAGAGTCAGCAAACTTGAAGGGATCCCACAACACTTTTCTGATTAGCCATGGAATGAATTCACATAGAGGAGCTTATTGCCTCACAAATTGACTGCAACAAAATTTTTCAGCATCCAAACAGTACGGGTAGAGTTGAAAAGATTTGTCGCACGCTGCGATTGCTTTTTCTCTTCTCTCGTCCCAACGAAACCGCTGGAAGCTAAGCACAGATGGTTGGAAAAGGGAAAGAGTGTACGTCACGGGCCAGTTTTGACTTGAGCCCTCAATAAATGCCCGGCTTTTCAGTGCGATCACACGCGCAGACACTGACATGTTGTGGCCTCCCGTGGCGGCCCCAGTAGCTCCCGAGTGCACCAGGATCAAATCTGCCAACGGCGTAATAGTCGACCTGTAACGCAATGTTATAGTACATAGGATCGTTTGTCGAGAAAGTGATTTTTATCTGATCATGAGAATTTTTCGCAAAATTTAGGCCGTGAGCTGCGCTATAATACAAGGCTCGTGTGTTCTCGGGAGCCTCAACTACCGATAAACGTCGTCTTCTGACCATGCTCAAGGGTTGCAGGGCCATCTTAACTGGAATGCTCGGCAAAGTGCCCTGAAACAATTTGATCGACGCTAGCGCCGCGTAGCTTCGGGATCTGTTGCGAAGATGTTACTACTGCCATGGCGGCTGGCTGAAAAAAGCGCACAATATGGCCCGCCGCGTCGAGCGGCTTTCAATGGGAGAGCGCGTGTCGGCCATAGTTGCAGTTCGGGCCGCTGCAGCGGGACGGGGCGGGGACAGGAGGGACGGGGAAACGAGTGGCGGCGGCTCTCTCGGGGCAGCAGCAGCCGCAAATTAGCTGAGTGGTTCACGACAGGGACCCACTCAGTTCTTCTAATCGGTGTTTTTGGAATATCATTTATTGCAGTGATGACATGTCGCGTATTAGTAGAGTCGTAGGCGCCATCTTGAATTGAATTTTCGTGTGCGTGCCGAGCGCCTGACATTTTTTTTTTTTTCCAGAACCAGCCTGTTGCTTTGAGGCTGAAAGAAAAATCTACAATGCATGTAGCTTAATTATATGGCTTTGAGTGCATGACAAAGCCATTGTACTATTTATGATGATGTGTTAAACTAAAGTATTTCAATTTTTGTGACGTTTATTCAGTACCTTCGCGTTTTTTTTTATTTCATCCAGAATGCTGGACAACTAACTTTTAAGACACTTGGCAATATACATTCGTAGTCTTTATATGCGTAAAACGTATAAAGGAAACATGATTTGAATATTTGCCATGTTATTCAGCTTCAAACGCTGGATAAAAGTAGTTTTACAAACATAGTGACGCTCTCCTCGTAGCTTTATGAAACAGGCTGCGAAAGTATTCATTATTAGAAGTGGCATTCAAGTTTCTTGGTAGTTCATACTAGGCAGGAAAGTGTGTGTGTGTATGTATATATATATATATATATATATATATATATATATATATATGTGTGAGATCTAACAGACAATACATTCCTTGGCATTTTGTCTGTTAGATGTGATTACATTGTGTCAACACACAGAAAAACGAGCCCTTAGGTATATGTTTTAATGTTTACACATCGCAAAACCATGGCTGCTGTAGGGCAGTCCAGTACACATGCCTTTGTTTCAGCGAGCAAATGTGCCAATTCGTCGATGTTACATAGTAGAACAAATAAACAGTAATGAATGACAGAACAGCATCACGGAGACTGTCAGAAGACAAGCGCATTGGAGTGCTATCGGGATTCGCCAGTGCCCGTGGATAGGCTAATAGGAAAATACCGAATGGATGGTTCTATTGTCAATAGACACATAATTCAAAAGTTGGGTGCACAAGATGCAGGCAGAAAAAAACAACAATGACAAATGACGTGAAAAGGAAACAGAGACGATTTTAGCAGATCGTTTATGCCCTCTTTTTTTTCCTACCGCGGCTCTTTCCAAAATGACCCTCCTCACAATCTCACGGCTAGAGCCTCTGAACGTGTGTGTCGGCTGCCAGTATATTGTCACGTCACTCCAGGGGGTGTCGACAAGGTTTATAGACGTCTCAGCAACAGGGCTCTAACCAAGCGCGTCGGTTGGGCTTGTTTGCCAGAGCGGGGGCCCACGTGCACTTCTTTCACCACTTGTACTAGACACATGCTGTTGACATTGATTGTGCTGGAACGGGACAGTTTATTGCTCTCCCACAATATATCTCTGTGGTGTGAGCCTTCACCTTGGCATACGACCCACTACTAGAAGTAGGTGGCAATATTCCTCCCCAACAAAAAAAAGAGAGCATTGTCCCAATGCTGTAAAGTTATTGCAAAAAAAACCAAAACAAAGTAGTTTAAACAGTGAAAAAGGGCACCAATAATCAAATGTTAGACGCAATAAGTTCACCAATGATGAGGCAATTGTCAGGAGCACAAATGAAAAAAACACAGGAAAAGTGGTCTTTTAGGAACGCGCAAAATAAGGCTTCATGCGCACCACGTGAACTATGTCAGAGGTGGGTTGTTTTCGTTGTACCCATCGTGACGACGTAGCGTCCGGAACCACTACGTAGTTTACGTCGCTCACGCGGCTTAATACTTTATACAGACCGAAGTATCTGCTGAGCAACTTTTCGGAGGGGCCACGGCGTCGAACAGGGGTCCAAACCCAAACTTGGTCTCCCGGACTGTAAGATACGTCATTGTGACGCATATTGTAACGTCGTGCATCGACTTGTTGCTGCTGACCAATGTGTAGCCGGGCAAGATGGCGTGTTTCTTCGGCACGTTCTGCAAATTCTTCTGCGTCAGTTGTTAATTGATCGGCGTCTTCACAAGGAAGCATCGCATCCAGCATCGTCTGAACTTCGCGGCCGTAGAGAAGTTGAAATGGTGTAAATCGGGTTGTTTCTTGAACGGTGGTGTTATAAGGGAATGTCACATAAGGCAAAATGCGATCCCATGTTTTGTGTTGGACGTCGATGTACATGGAGATCATGTTTGTGACTGTCTTATTTAGTCGCTCGGTTAAGCCGTTGCTCTGCGAATGGTAAGCAGTCGTCGTTCGATGCCTAGTGTTACTTAGTCGAAAAACTTCGTCAATAAGCTGTGCAGTGAACGCTGTTCCTCTGTCGGGTATCACTGTAGATGGAGCACCGTGCCGCATAACAATGTAGCACATGAAGAACTGTGCTACCTCAGAAGCCGGGGCACGTGGTATCGCCTGTGTCTCAGCATAGCGGGTCAAATAGTCAGTTGCAACAATGACCCATTTGTTGCCGTCGGACGATATAGGAAATGGGCCGAGAATGTCCATGCCGACTTGGTCAAATGGCTTGTGGGGTGGATCAATTGGCTGAAGTAATCCAGCCGGCTTGCTTGGTGGCGACTTTCGACGCTGGCATTCACGACAGCTTTTAACGTTCTGCTTCACGCTTGCCGAAAGTCCGGGCCAGTAGTACGCCTCACTTACTCTGGCGAGCATTCGCGAGTAACCTAGATGACCAGATGTGGGCTCGTCATAACTCGCGGAGAGAACTTCATCCCGCATGTCCTTCGGAACGACGAGGAGGTAAGCGCGGCTCGTAGAACGGCCGTTTTTTTTGTACAGGACATTATCTCGGAGGCAGAAAGACGTCATGAAGCGAGATAGATGGCGAGGTATAACGGCACTATGACCCTCCAGATAGTCGATGAGCGGTCGAATCTCTTCATCCTCTCGCTGGCGTCTGCTCAAGTCAGATGAGCTAAGGGCGCCCAGGAAACCGTCATCGTCCTCTTCTTCTTGATTGACTAAAGGTGCACGCGACAGCGTATCAGCGTCTTCATGCTTCCATCCAGGCTTATATACGATGGTCACATCAAATTCCTGTAGACGCAAGCTCCATCGGGCCAGTCGTCCAGAGGGATCACGAATGTTTACCAACCAGCAGAGGGCATGGTGGTCTGTCACCACTTTAAATGGACGACCATAGAGGTACGGGCGAAACTTGGTGATTGCCCACACTACTGCGAGACACTCTTTCTCTGTGGTCTTGTAATTCACCTCGGTACGGGACAGTGAGTGGCTGGCATAGGCTATGACTCGTTCTTTGCCGTGTTGATGCTGGACGAGCACTTCGCCGAGGCCGATATTACTGGCGTCAGTGCGTACCTCTGTGTCAGCATCATCGTCAAAATGCGCAAGAGCAGGGGCTGATTGCATCCGCTGTCGTAGCTCGGTAAAAGCAGCCTGTGGCTCAATAGCCCATACAAACGGTGTGTCGTCGCGTGTAAGGCGAGTCAAGGGTTCCGCTATCTTCGAAAACCCTCTAATAAATCGTCGATAGTAGGCGCACAAGCCCAGAAAGCGCCGAACAGTCTTTTTGTCTGTAGGATGCGGAAACGCGGCTACAGCGGCAAGTTTGTCGGGGTCGGGTTGGACTCCTTTGGCGTTGACTACATGGCCAAGGAATTTGAGCTATTCATAACCAAAGTGACACTTCTGCGGTTTGAGTGTAAGATCTGCTGATTGAATAGCCTGTAGCACACTCCTGAGGCGGTGAAGGTGTTGCTGGAAGGTTTCAGAAAAAACGACACCATCATCAAGGTATACGAGACAAGTTTGCCACTTGAGACCACTAAGCACAGTGTCCATCATTCGCTGGAAGGTTGCGGGCGCTGAGCTTAAACCAAAAGGAAGGAGTCGAAATTCATACAGGCCATCAGGGGTAACCAAGGCCGTTTTCTTGCGATCTCGCTCGTCAACCTCAATCTGCCAGTACCCGCTTTTTAAATCCAAAGAGGAAAAATAGTGGGCGCGGCGTAATCTGTCTGAGCCGTCGATGCATGGCAGCGGGTACACGTCCTTTTTAGTCACGCTGTTCAGCTTCCCGTAATCGACGCAAAAACGTAGCGTTCTGTCTTTCTTCTTGACTAAGACGACCGGAGAGGACCACGCACTGTTGGAAGGCTCGATAATGCCGTCAAGCATTTCTCGAACTTGTGTACGAATGGTTTCTCGTTCCTTCGCTGACACACGGTAAGGCTGTTGGTGTATTGGGCGGGCGTCGTCGTAAGTGATGATTCTGTGGCTAGTGATCGAAGTCTGCCGCACCTTAGAGGAAGCAACGAAGCATGACTTGAATTCAAGCAAGAGTTTTCGCAGTGCTGTCTGGTTTTGTGGTGTGAGGTTAGAATTAATATCGATATTGTTTAGAGACGTATTGGCGGCCTCCACTGCGTCCGACGAGAAGCAGATGGGAACGGTTCCTAATTCATCTGCAAACGCTAACGAAGTGCCACAGAAAAGGTGTCGGTGTTCGTTGCTGAAATTTGTAACGAGCAGTTGAGATCGGCCATCACGTAGCTGTATGATACTTCTAGCCACACGAACACCTTGAGTCAACAGGTGTGCATGATTACTTTCTGCAATCGCTTCACCATTTCACAATCCGCAGCATGTGACGTCGACAATAACACTGGCTCTTGGAGGAAGCGTTATACTTTCAGCAGAAACACGAAGAACGTCGGTACGTTGTTGGTCGTCCTGCTTGTCGATTGCTCGATCGGCTGAGAAGGTGATGCGATTCTCTTGAAGATCAATGACAGCTCCATACTCCTGCAGGAAGTCAACACCAAGAATAACGTCGCGTGAACATTCACGGAGCACAAGGAATCTTCCTACAAAAGTATAACTGCAGACTCGAACTCTACTCGTGCAGGTTCCAAGCGGAGAGACGGTGTGGCCACCAGCCGTTCGAATCACGGAGCCATGCCAGGGCGTGAGTACCTTCTTTAGTAGTCTGGTCATTTTCCCGCTTAGTATCGAATAGTCAGCCTCGGTATCAACTAAAGCACCTACTGCATAGCCGTCTATCAGCACCGGTATATCCAGAGAAAGCCGCACATATCGCTCAGTCGAATCTACACCCTTTACTGTTAGCGTCGGTCGGAGGTCTTCAGCACGTCGACTGCCAGCGACCTCGCCTCCAAGGGTCGCTTGCATTAGTTTTTCCAACGGGGACTGGAGGACCGTGCGCCAGTATGGTGCTGTGACGAAGATGAAAGCGCCTCGGCGACGGTGAGCGTGACTGCCGTCCAGAAGGCGGTGGCATGCGCTGTTGAGCCAGGTACTGTCGCCGTCTGATAAATCGGACACCGATAATTCGGACATGCTCGGTAATTCGGACAGTCGCGCGGCACCACCGATGGTCCAATAGAAGTAACGTGTAATGACGACCGATATTTCGGACAGCTGCCAGATCTACATTCGATAATTCGGACCCTGCCCGACTGTCACGCACGCCGAATCGGCAGCCATTATCTCCTCCGGCACTCAAACCATACAAAGTATGGCCTCAGAGATCAAAACGAAAGCTACATAATTGGTTATCTATGAGGCTTTATTTCGATCACAACTTTATGCCTCGGAGTTTTGTACTTGAAAATGCTGATCTTGGAGGTACGGCTCAACTGTGGGGGATCGTATCGACATCGCGATCATCCCACATTCCGGTTCCTGTATACCCTCGCCACCCTCACTGTGCGGCTATCGCCGCCATTCTGTCACATGTGTGTGCGGTACAGCGTTTTGCTGAATTCTGCGCACGTTCATATTTATTATGAGACTTGCTTTATTTTACGTCCAGCTGTCTCACAAGATCTGAAGTTAAATGGCACCAACGGTGCCCTCACAGCCAGCGCCGAAGGCCGCGCCGACGAAATGCGGCAGATACAAAACTAACCATGGCAAAGAAAGCAGCCATCATTCAGCAAGTGCTCAGTGGTCGTCTGCAAGTCGAAGTTGCTTGAGAGTTCAACATTTCGAAGCAAACCATATCGGACTGCATGAAGAATAAGGACAAGATTTTAGGCGCGACGGAGACATCATCCAGAAGTGAACAAAAGAGGGTGCACCAAGATGTTCATCCGCAGTTGGAAGAAGCGTTGAGCATTTGGCTTAACGCTACCGTCGCTCAACGGGTTCCCGTTTCCGGCCACCTATTGAAGCAAAAGGCCGAGACATTGGCATTTCTCCTTGGCATTGATGGATTTAAGTTCAGCGATGGCTGGCTCCGGAACTTTAAAAAGCGGTACGGCCTAGCTCGCTTTCAAAAAAATGTGCGGTGAGAGCGGTGCCGTGGATAGCACACTGGTAGCGAACTAACGCGGTGGAAAGTTGGTGGAGCTGCTTCGGCGCGACTCGGCTGACGACACCTTCAACCTCGATGAAACCGGGCTTTTCTATAAGCTACTACCGGAGAAGACACTCGCCCGTTCTGGAGAACCTTGCCACGGAATTAAACTCAGCAAGAAACGAGTCACTGTCGTCAGCTGCAACGCTTCTGGCACGGAAAAGCTCCTACTGCTGGTAATCTGGAAATCGAAAAACCCTCGATGTTTTAAGGGGGAAAAAAATCTGCCTGTCTGGTACGAAGCCAATACGAAGGCGTGGGTCACGCAAAAGCTGTTCGCAGAGTATGTCGGAAAATTGGACCGAAAGTTTGAATTGCAAAAGCGCAAGGTCCTTTTGTTCGTAGATAACTGTACTGCCCATGCGCCGATCAGCTGTCTGTAAGCCATCGAGCTAGAATACCTGCCGCCGAATACGACCAGTATTCTGCAACCTATGGACCAAGGTATTATCAAGAATTTGAAGGTGCTGTATCGTTCACGCTTGCTGCAGCGCATGTTGCTCTGCTTAGAGAGTCAGATAAAATACAACGTTGATTTGATGTTAGCCGTGAGCATGCTTGCTGATGCCTGGAAGGCAGTGTCGGCAGGCACGATCAGCAACTGTTTCCGGCACGCAGGATTTACGTTGCGTAGCGAGCCCGACACCGCCGACACTGGAGCCGAAGAACCCGACAATGCAACTGAAGAGCCGGACCTGCCGCCCAGCGCATCGAGCTCAGGTGCGAACGTTATCGACGACCTGCGAGGCTGCGGTGTGCCGATTTCCGACACTGTTACGTTTGAAGACTTTGCAAACGTCCACAGTGCAGTGTCGTCGTGTGCCGAATTGAATGATGACGACATAATTGAGCAGGTTCTGCAACCGTCAAACAGCGGTTCTGACTCTGACGATGATGACGCGCCGTGTGCTTTGGCGCAGTCGCATGCAGACCTGTTTCGAGCCCTCGCTGTTCTTTCGTTGTCGTACAGCGATCGTATCACACTGGCGGAGATACAGGAGGCGTGCACGTAAGCGGAAGTGCATGCAGCAACGCAGCAACGACTTTTTTCGGCCGCCGGTAGACTGAAGTGTCAATAAAAGTTTTTTTTTCTGACGCAATCGTTTTTTTTGGACTTTCGATAATTCGGACTTATTTGCATTCCCCTTGGAGTCCGAATCGTCGGTTGTCGACTGTAGTCCTCAATGTCTCGCGGTCGTTGGCCATACCGAGGAGGCGCTGAATATACTGAAAATCCGTGCAGCCCGAGGTGCCGGTATGGACACTGGCGGTACAAATGGTCCGCTTCATTGCAGTGGAAGCTCAAAGGTCGGCGATCAGGAGTGCGCCAAACATCAGATTCCGAGGCGAAGCACGTCTGTCGTCAAGGTAGTGTGCTGGTTGTTCCGCAAGATGCACAGGGCTGGCGTAAACGAGGGGTGGGGGTGTGCGTGTGTTCTCGTAGTACCGGAGAGGCGGCGCTGACTGAAGTGAAACTGTAGGAGGTGCCTGAACAAACAGCGTGGAAGAGGAAGCTGGGCGCTTCAAGGCTTCCACATAGGTCGCACGGTGGTAGTCAGCCGGGGCGGGTGTGGCGTTATTCAGACTCACAGGGTCACGAAGGGCATGATGCAGCTCGCCCTTGACGATGCTTGCAATGGAACTCACCGTAGGTAGTGGTGGTGTGGCAGCCTTTTGCAGCTCCTTGCGTACTATGGAGCGGATAAGGTCGCGCAGACACTCGGTGTTGCTCCCAATAGTCGTGAGAACTTGAGCAGTGGACGTGTTCACTTGCCGCTCATACAGGGTGGATCGATGCTGAAGCATCTTTTCCATCGTGACGGCTTCGGACAAAAACTCGGCGACCGTGTTCGGAGGGCTCCGTACAAGGCCAGCGAAAAGCTGCTCCTTAACTCCCCGCATCAGGTGACGCACCTTCTTTTCTTCTGTCATACTCCGATCAGCCCATCGGAACAGGCGCGTCATATCTTCCACATAGGTCATCACAGTTTCATTGGGCATCTGGATGCGGGCCTGGATCGCTCGCTCCGCTCGTTCGTGGCGATCAGCACTTCTGTAAGTATCCAACAGCCGGCGGCGGAATTCGGGCCACGATGTCATCTGTTCCTCGTGATTCATGTACCAGGTACGTGCTCCATCCTCCAAATAGAAGTACACGCGTCGTAGTTTGGCCGCGTCGTTCCAGTCGTTCAAAGCAGCCACGCGCTCGAAGTCGACCAACCAGTCCTCGACGTCTTCGAGCTCGGTGCCATGAAACGGTGTCGGAACCTGTGGACTTTCAAGGGTGTACCGAGTCACCGGGGGGTTTTTCGTACCTGTTAAAGTGGTTTGAACGGACGTGCTCATCATACTGGTGTGAACTGTAGGGTCAGCTTCGGGTGGCAATCCCCTGATCCTGCGGCTTGTTCGATGAACGGGAGTGTTGACTCGCACTGGGCTTGTGATGCCGCTTCCAGGAGGTGTCTGAAACATCCGTGAGGGGCCTACCCAGCACCTCCACCAATTGTCACGTCACTCCAGGGGGTGTCGACAAGGTTTATAGACGTCTCAGCAACAGGGCTCTAACCAAGCGCGTCGGTTGAGCTTGTTTGCCAGAGCGGGGGCCACGTGCACTTCTTTCTTCTCTGTGGTGTGAGCCTTCACCTTGACATACGACCCACTACTAAAGGTAGGTGGCAATATATATATATATATATATATATATATATATATATATATATATATTTATATAGGATATGGCACAACGGGAGCGTTGTCAACAAGGATATATTTATTTCCCAACAGTTTCGGGAGGGGACCTCCCTTCATCAGGGGATGAGTTATACTGACATGAGCTTCCAAACTTCCTTGCTGCCGCGTCCCTCTCGCCTTGAAAGACGTTTGCGAGAGTGAGAGGGAACTGGAAAAAGGAAAAAAACAAAAAAGGGGAGAAAAAAGACGAAAAAAGAAAGAAAGTGAAAAAGAGGAAGAACCACTGTCAACACTGAGAACGAAGCCAACTGTCCGTCTACATCCACCTACGGTTCATATCACGTGCTGTTCAGTTCTTGGCGTGTGTCGGGCCACCCAAGATTGTCGCCGCGGTGCCGGGAGGGTCCGGGACGGCGTGCCTAAAGAAAGGGGTTTCCCCGTAATGGGTCGTTCGGCGGGCGGCGGGCGGTGTGTGTAAAGGAAAGGTTTCTCGTTAATGGGTCGGTCGGCTATTTACCTTTAATCTTCGTCCGTTTCCCTTCAACGGTCATGAAGTGGTAGGCGAACGTAAACACTTTGTATGTGCATGTGAAAAAAAAAAAAAAAAAAAGTAAGGACAGTGTACACGTACGAGTCAGTCAGAAAAAAGCATGGTCTCCAGCTATCAATCTTTGTCACCAATTTTCTCCTGGCTTACTTCTCGGAGGCAGTTGAGTTTTCCGGGGTCCTCGTTGATACCGGCTACTAATGTACGAAATTTGAAAATAAAATATGCCTCACGCTGTTCGCGCTCGCGTCTGTTTGAAAAACCGGACTGCAAAAGAGTTGCGCTAATATTTTCAAAACGGTGGTTTGGCAGGCGCAGATGTCTAGATAAAGGTAGCTTCGGCAGTGAA